TTTAAACCCGAGACGAGCTGAGTTCACGGCCTGAGTTCACGGCCGTGAACCATGAAATGCGTCCGTGAAATTCAAACGTGCACCAAAACGAGCCGCATAATTCACTTCTGTTCACGGTCAACCGGCCTCGTTCACGGTTTTAGTGACCGTGAACTCACCTTGCGTCATTAACCTCCACTTTGGCTCTGGACGCCTCGCAATTCACGGTCCATGGCTCTTCTTCACGGTCATGCCGAACCGTGAACTTCCTTGGCTAGCTGTGAACTTGCCCTTTTTCACCTCTTCTCCCAGTTTTCGATCCTTTTCGCCAATCTTTCGACTCCGAGGATGGTTTCATCTGTTAAATCCTGAAACTCACTAAAACACGGTAAAACCAGCGTAAAACCAACCTTTTAGGAGTGAATTTGGCACAAACATCTAATTCAAACGGGGGAAAACATGTACAATTAGGCCTGAATCAGAGCTCACTCACCACATTCGATAACCCTAAGTATCTATATATGCATAGTAACCCTAAGCTAGGGGGATGATTAGTTCCCCGAAGTACCTGCTTTAGCTTTGATCAATCTCTAGTCTAGTTATCTCCTCAAATCCTCCACTCAACCCTCCAAAACCGATTAACTAATTAGCAACTCAGTGGGAAGTAGGCTAGGGTACCTGGACCCAAATAAAATACGACATTGATTATCACTATACGACAATGCCGTCTTAGATTAAACTTAGCTTAAGATGGAGTAGTTGTTGACACATGCTAACCACTGACAATAATATGCACGGATCAAATTGATCAGTTAGTTTCTGTTGAGTCGAAGAAGGGAAGGAAGGGAGCTTTTGTTGTCTTTCTTTTTGGGATTTTTTGGTTGCTCTATTGTTTCTTTGTAGGATTTTCTGTCGCCTATGGCTGCTTTCTCTTTCTTTTTTGTTGTTGATGCTTGATGAGAAGAACAAGATGTGTTATGGAGTATTTTCTGTCAGTTTTTGGTTTCGGTTGTGTGTTTGAAGAAAGGAAGTGAGAAGTTTTGCAGAGTTTCTCTGCTCTGTGTGTATGCCTGTATATAGCCAAAGAGGAAGAAATAAGTGGAGAGTAAGTCTTTTCGGTAGTTTGTGTGCTTTCTTTTTTGTTTTTTATAAGAAGGAAGAAGGAGTTAGTAATCACTTTGATGATTTTCCTTTTATCTTGTGTCGTCTCAGTGAAGGAAAAGAAGCTTTGATCTGTTGTTCGTGGGGAAGAGGATCAGAAAGGAGAAGAAAGAAAAAAGGTCACCCTTGTGTTGTTGGCGTAAAAAATGAAGAAAAAATCCCTCGAAAAAGAATCATCTGAACTCTCTTTTATAATTCAAAAATCCACTGTAGCTTAGGTTTGTGTTGTAACTTGATCGACCTTGAGGGTAGTAATCTTGTGTATTTTTTTTGGTTGTTTGGGATAGTAAACCCTACGCTGGGTTGGGCTTGGCAAATGTTGGTTTGGGACTGTGACTTATGTTGACTGGGTTTGACCAGTTGACTTTGGGCTTTGACCTGGACTGCCTTTGACCTGCAGGCATTGACAGTGGGCTTGAGGTTTGACTTGAGCATATTTTTTGTTAAACCTTGTAGTTAATATTATGTAATGTTATTATGCAATTATTTTGTCACAGCTTTGTAATTATAAATTATAGTTCTAATCAAATTTAATTGTAATTGTTCTAATATAATTGTTGTTTATTTTTTGTAATTCAACTTTTCTCTTATTGTCTTGAAACCAGAGCTCAATCCAATCAAAAGCCAAATAGTCTAGGTACACAATTTAGATATCAATCTAAAGGCAACAAACTAAGCAACTTCTTATTATTAGGTTGTCGAAACCGAGATTTGCTATTGCTAATCTCAATGGGCTAAGCCAAACGTGATTCATCCCTAACATTACAAATATGCTTTAATTAGATAATCGTCTAAGGTTTGTATTGCCAACCTTTACCTAAACATAAATTGTATTCGATTAAATATGTTTTTAAACCGGACAAAAAGTGGTCTCTACACCGCCATCGACCATTTTCTGCAAAAGTGGAAGCCAAACCTAGAAGCAGTGACTGTGGACAATTCCAAGATTCTGGTGTGGGTAAGGCTCTTACACCTTTGTTGAACTAGCTAATAGGGATGGCTTGAGTCGAATTCCTAGTTTGTTGGACAGCCATTATGTGTGGATCAAGCCACGACACAAGGGACGAGATTAGGGATTGCTAAAATATATGTTGAACTCGATGCAAAGGGAAAGTTAACTGATTCTGTTAAGGTTCATCCAGATGACAGGAATGAAGTTTGTGTGGGAATCTAGTACTGCAATTTGCTGCCTTTGCAAGGGTTGTGGTCCCTTTAGTCAAAACTGTGAAAGGAATGTTGAATATGGTAAGAGAGTATGGCTAGTAAAGAATATATATGAGAAACCATTACAAATTCAAGCAAAGGCTACAAATCATATTGTTGTGCATGACAGAGGGAACGAGATTGTGGTGGATGTGGTGATGGAACATGGAAGTTGTAGCGGGCGAAGCTGCAACTCATCTATAAGATAATGGGACAACTAATATAATAGGTCGTAGTACAAATAAGTTATATATTAATTCATATGAGTTACATGAAGTTCATGACAAAGGTGAGCCATCTTATGCCGAGAGTACTCCTACAATGCTGCCAACTACTAAAGAATTTGATGAACTAGTGAATGGTATCACACAATCAGTTGATTTGGGGAGAAAGGTAACCCCTCTTTTGCAATCCAAATCCTTTGAGTTACTTTATAAGCAAGGAGTTGGTCAAAGATCAAAGTACAAGCCTCAAACAAAAAGAAATAGGGAGGTGGTAGAAAATCACAAGAAGAATTAGATCCTAGAGAGCAAACAAGCTTACCTACGCTGGTAAGTTGCATCTTGTATCATCTATATTGCTAGCCGACACCGAGTATTGGATGACAGTTTAATTTCTTCTCAAGAAGGTTTTGAGAGATATCCAAAAGGATCTACGCAGACTCTCTTTGGCATGGAGATGGTACATGTAGAGCTAAGGTAGCATGGGAGGTGAATGTTTTGCCCAAATAAGAGGGGGTCTAGGGTTGCGAGATCTTTACGCGTGGAATATGGGTTGTGTTACAAGAATAATTTGGTGTTTCTGGTTAGAGGAGGATCTTTTAGGGTATCCTGGATAATGAGCCACAGGCTAAAGGGAGATCAATTTGGAAGGTTGCAGAAATACAAGCAAGGTCCTCGCTGTGTAGAAAACTCCTTAGGCTGAGGTCCTGATTTCAGTTGAGATAATGGTGTAGTGAGATGGGAGGACAAGTTGTTATATAAATACACTATCAAGACTATTTGGAAAACTATCTGCCCGAGAGGGATAAGGGTTTAATGGGCAAAGATGCTATGGGAAAAGTATATGATACGAAGGCATAGACTGGTGACTTGGTTAGTACTCGAAGATAGAAATGCTACGAAGGATAAGTTGAAAGCGTGGGGAAAAGCAGATGATGATAGATGTGTATCGTGCAAAGTTGAACATGAGACCATGGACAATTTATCTTGCAAATGTTTGTTCTCTAGGTCTATCTTGCGTTACTTAGTTGCAAGTATAAATTGGCCAGATGAATGGAGTAGTATGGTGGAAAGGGTATGCCACATTGCAGGGCAGAGCATGGCTGAAGGATTGTTAATAGGTGGAATATGTAGCTGGTATGTTTTTTGTTCTTTGGCGAGAGATGTGATCATACAATTAGCTAGTTACATTAACAATGAAAACAATCCTATCATGCATATCTTTGTACTATTTCATCAACGCCTAGTCATTCTGTGCAAAAAAGGTAATCTCATCCTTAATTTTCTTCACAATCTGCTCGGGATGACAGATATGCTTGGTTTCATACAACCTAGAGCAGCGCTCCCTCCATATATAGCTCAGATACAACCTCCACAACAATCTTCCAATCTTTGCTTGGTCTGAATTTACATGCCACGCCTGAATCACCCACTAGATATGATCCTGCCAATTCATGTCTTCTCGGATTCTGTGAACTTTGTCAAGAGCTTACATAATTACACTTTACTAGTTGCACACATGACAAACATATGATCTCTTGATTCAACACCTCCTTGACATAGTAAGCAAGCCTTGTCAATACCAATCCCCCAAGCAACCATTTTGTCCTTGGTTGTGATTCTACCAAGGTTAATCATCCAAATAATCAACTATGTTTCGGACTACTTGGTTTCCTCCACACAACAGCTTCCCAATCAACCTTAGAAGTTGGACTTTAAATGGATTCTCATATAGTTTTTATAGAGTAACTAGGAAGGAGTTCACCATCCCATGTGAGAGTTCTACCTGATCCTAATAGATGTTGTTGTGCGACCCCTCTGCATTTTAGAATCCTTCGCCAAAGCCATGGACCTGAGTAGGGGTGATAGTCAGGTCGGTTAGCGGTTAATCATTAACCTAAAATGAGATTAACGGTTACCCGCCAAACAAAACAATCATTATCATTAGCCAACCCGCCAAAACTTATCGTTTAACCGTTAACTGTCGGTGCGGTTAACCGCCTACTCGCCTGAAAGAGAGAGTAGTGATAGGTTTGTGAATTTGATCCACCACTAAACGTCATTTATTAACCATTTATGACTTGGTAACTCGATAAGAGATTTTAAAATTCCTTTTAATGATCCTCATTCTCCTCTAGAAATCAGTCCCCAACTTTGTTTCCCAAACGAATCCTTTCCCTCTCCCACAATGTTGTTCTTTCTTTAATCAACTGTTTGGATGATCTCTCTCTCCTTCTCCCCTAGATAAAATTTGCTTCATAAAATTACAGTGTAAAAGTAGTATTATTTATTGACAAACGAGAGAAAAAGCATACTCTTTCTAATTGTTGCGGCCATGAAAACGGCTAGTTGGCTTAGCTTCTGATCCCTCTCCCATTACTTATGGCACAAAAGGGATGATATATATGTAATGTTACGCTTCCATGGTGCTGAGCACTTCGTCAATTACTAAGCATTAGTTTATCCCATTTCTTGGGAATTGCCCTTTATTACTGTTTTACTCTGCTTATTAATATGCTCTGAATGTTGATCATAATTCTACGAACAGTCTTGCATAATCATGATTAGCACTATCTTAAACTAAAATATTAATATGCTCTTAATGTTAATCACAGTGGATTTGATCTTTTTAATTACTACACCATTCAAACGGTTGGTTAAAAATAAAACAACCCTTATCGGTTATTAATCGGTTAACCGCTAACCATCGGTTATTAATTGATTATAACTAGGTAACCCAATAATAGATTTCGAGCTTCCGTTAAATGACCCGCATTCTCCTTAACGGTTAATGGTTTAACCGTTAACTATCGGTTAGCGATGCGGTTATCAGTTAAACCGTTAACGACATAATCGTTTATCATCCCTAAACCTGAGGATAGTGGTGATAGACTCCAGGCCGATTCTTTAAAATTGTTGTTGTCAAGTGCCAGACAAAATTTCAGTCGCTTATCAACAACATAATTTTATTTTTATTTTTGGAACTCCATTCAAGGCCTTTTTAGAATAACTTTCAGCGTTTACCACGAGCACTACTTCCAATCACAAGGCGTGATACCACAATTCCCTTTCATAGACCTCCAAAATAACCTCAACCCTGAAAGAACAGAGGAACCTCAGATGCCCAAATTGGATATTACTTCAAAAAATTGGGGAAGGACTTGACCTTCCGACACCTTCATAAAAAAGGATGAGTGTCATAGGGCATTGACCTAAGTCGTATCATTTTTTTAAGTTATTCAAGGATTCATCCTACCTCCATAAGGAAGATTTTGCTTTATATTTTAGTGGATTCGCTCTACTTCCTCTGAGGGATCTTATAATTTAGCCTCGTCTCTTAGAATGAGCCTTCTATAGGTCGAATCTCTGATGGTCAAGGATTTTAGGTATGTCTGCTTCCTCAAAGACAATACTTGCTAGACATGACGTTCTGGAGATTGTGAAGATTCACTTACACCTTAAGGTCGAGAACCTAATGAATGATGAAGGAATTGACTGTACTTCCTTGAAGATTTGCTTGGATGACAATGGGTTCCACCCCACCCCATACAAGAATTCAGTGCTTGTGGAGGACTTTAAGACCTATTGACTAAGTCAATCATGACAGTAGCTTAGAGGCAAGATTTTTGTTGATTGATATATGACCTCTCCACCTCTAACAAGGATTTAGAAAGTGGAGAGGAGGCTTGTTGTTTCAAGTAGGATGTTGTTAATGTCGAAGGATTATCGAGGCACAAGACTTAATCTAGTTTGGATCTCAGGGCGACTTTTCGAGAAGCCTAGGGCTTTGTACCTCGAGAAATCGTGGGTAGTTAAGAAAACTCCTCTTAATGTGGGAGAAAGGGAGCCTTTGCTCTCATCAACACGCTAAAGCTCAGGAATTCTTCGTCAACACAAGGAAACCCGAATAAGAAAGTTCCCTTGAGAGCTCTCAAATGTGTAGAACAAAGAGTACAAGAGAGCTTCCCAAAAGAATATGAGAACTTTTGGTGTGGTTTAAATGAGGAAAGAGCTCTCTATTACAAAATTTTGGGAGCCCTTCCCCCTTGGGTCCATCCCTTTTGATCATCTATCTATATCTATCTATCTATCTATCTATCTATATCTATACTAAATATTATGGCTATTCAAAAATAACTTCTTGCCACATAAGCACTTGGTGAATGCACAAGTTGCCAAGGTGGACAATTTTTTTTCAAACAAAACTATTTATTGATCTATTTATGAAGTTGTCTCTCTCTTCTTTTAATAATTCTACTCATCTATCTATCTATCTATATCTATACTAAATATTATGGCTATTCAAAAATAACTTCTTGCCACATAAGCACTTGGTGAATGCACAAGTTGCCAAGGTAGACAATTTTTTTTCAAACAAAAAACTATTTATAGATCTATTTATGAAGTTGTCTCTCTTCTTTTAATAATTCTACTCATTTTTACTAAAATTAAAATAAGTTATTTTTTTAGAAAACATTTAAAAAAAAACACACACCTAAGTAATACAAAAATTCGATTAAACAAACTATAAAGATGGAAACAGAGAGTGACATATATTGTATTTGTTTAACCCAAGCTGATTAAATCTGATTAAGTAAATTTTCTACTCATTTTTACTAAAACTTAATAATAAGTTACATTTTGATGAAGAAAAAATAAACAAGCACACACATTTATCTATCTATCTATATCTATCTATTCTATTCTATACTAAATATTATGGCTATTCAAAAATAACTTCTTCCCACATAAGCACTTGGTGAATGCACAAGTTGCCAAGGTGGACAATTTTTTTTTTCAACAAAAAAATATTTATTGATCTATTTATGAAGTTGTCTCTCTCTTCATTTAATAATTCTACTCATTTTTACTAAAATTAAAATAAGTTAATTTTTTAGGAAACATTTAAACAAAAAACACACACCTAAGTAATAAGAAAAAAATTTCGATTAAACAAACTATAAAGATGGAAACCGAGAGTGACATATATTGTATTTGTTTAACCCAAGCTGATTAAATCTGATTAAGTAAATTTTCTACTCATTTTTACTAAAACTTAATAATAAGTTACATTTTGATGAAGAAAAAAAAACAAGCACACACATAAATATTAATATTTGTCAATACAAGATATAAACGATGATCTATGAGAAAATAAAGTAATAAACGTTTGACAATCAATCGACTTTGAGAAATAAACGATATGACTATAGGTTTTTTGCTATCAAACACTCACTTCTTTCTTATGTATATACCTATCAAATAAAACAACTATAAATTATATAGCAAAATGTCTGAATACAAACTTGACAGAGCAATAATTGTTATTTTTAAAAAAACTTCTTATTCATTTCGATTAAATAAAAACATATTAATTATTAATGAAAACTTTTAATTTGTCTCGATCCCTTTCCCTATTTTGATTGTCTCTCTAGAAATAAAATCTAACATTGAAAATAAGAAATTAAGAAAGTATGTCAACCACCATAAAAATAAACAAAGCCCTCTTATTAGTTGCTAAGTTTTTTAAGATTTCTAATATTTGTATTCTCATAATTTATAGAGAAGGAAATGGTAATGCATTTTTTCTTTGTATGAGAATAGGAGGCAGAAATTACACGAGACAACGATAAGATGACAAAATTTTGAGCAGTTGTAACATATTTTTGCCTGTTGACGAAAAAAGTTAATATGATCATTGTGAAGATGAGGTGAACCAAGCCGAGGGTTGTCAACTGCTCCCTCTTCCTCCTTGAATCTGAAGCTGGCAACTGGTCTCACTTTCTCAGCGATATGTTATTGTTTGCGGTTGACTGGCCGAGTTATAATCTTTTTCCCATTCTTTTCTTAATTTCTTCCAAAGTTGTCTCTCTCTTATTTTGATAATTCTACTCATCTATCTATCTATCTATCTATCTATACTAAATATTATGGCTATTCAAAAATAACTTATTGCCACATAAACACTTGGTGAATGCACAAGTTACCAAGGTGGACAATTTTTTTTCAAACAAAAAACTATTTATTGATCTATTTATGAAGTTGTCTCTCTCTTCTTTTAATAATTCTACTCATTTTTACTAAAATTAAAATAAGTTATTTTTTTAGGAAACATTTAAACAAAAAACACACACCTAAGTAATAAAAAAAATTTGATTAAACAAACTATAAAGATGGAAACAGAGAGTGACATATATTGTATTTGTTTAACCCAAGCTGATTAAATCTGATTAAGTAAATTTTCTACTCATTTTTACTAAAACTTAATTATAAGTTACATTTTGATGAAGAAGAAAAAACAAGCACACACATCTATCTATCTATTTATCTATATCTATATCTATCTATCTATCTATCTATCTATCTATCTATCTATCTATATCTATCTATCTATACTAAATATTATGGCTATTCAAAAATAACTTCTTGCCACATAAGCACTTGGTGAATGCACAAGTTGTCAAGGTGGACAATTTTTTCAAACAAAAAACTATTTATTGATCTATTTATGAAGTTGTCTCTCTCTTCTTTTAATAATTCTACTCATTTTTACTAAAATTAAAATTAAGTTAATTTTTTAGGAAACATTTAAACAAAAAACACACACCTAAGTAATAAAAAAATTCGATTAAACAAACTATAAAGATGGAAACAGAGAGTGACATATATTGTATTTGTTTAACCCAAGCTGATTAAATCTGATTAAGTAAATTTTCTACTCATTTTTACTAAAACTTAATAATAAGTTACATTTTGATGAAGAAAAAAAAAACAAGCACACACATAAATATTAATATTTTTCAATACAAGATATAAACGATGATCTATGAGAAAATAAACGTTTGACAATCAATCGACTTTGAGAAATGAACGATATGACTATATGTTTTTTGCTATCAAACACTCACTTCATTCTTATGTATATACCTATCAAATAAAACAACTATAAATTATATAGCAAAATGTCTGAATACAAACTTGACAGAGCAATAATTGTTATTTTTTAAAAAACTTCTTATTCATTTCTATTAAATAAAAACATATTAATTATTAATCAAAACTTTTAATTAGTCTCTATCCCTTTCCCCATTTTGATTGTCTCTCTAGAAATAAAATCCAACATTGAAAATAAGAAATCAAGAAATTATGTCAACCACCATAAAAATAAACAAAGCCCTCTTATTAGTTGCTAAGTTTTTTGAGATTTCTAATATTTGTATTCTCATAATTTATAGAGAAGGAAATGGTAATGCATTTTTTCTTTGTATGAGAATAGGAGGCAGAAATTACACGAGACAACGATAAGATGACAAAATTTTGAGCAGTTGTAATATATTTTTGCCTGTTGACGAAAAAAGTTAATATGATCATTGTGAAGATGAGTTGAACCAAGCCGAGGGTTGACTGGTCGAGTTATAATTTTTTCCCATTCTTTTCTTAATTTCTTCCAAATTACGACTGCTGGATGGTAAATTTTCCCACTCTCGATGAGTGAATATATTTCTTCTTTGTTTTTTACTGAGAAGGGTCGCCATATACTTTCATGTGTATAAAATATAATTAGAAGGGTTAATTGGTTGGACTTAGGGCATACCTCCTTTGGTTGAATAATTGTTCGTTTTTCTTGAATGCCTATTGCAACCCGATTTCTTGAATGTTGAAATGGAAAGTAGAGTTGTGATTATTGTTTATTATATTTTATGTTCATGATTGACATGCTACTACTAGCTAGCTATACAATGATGATCTGGTTAGTAATTAGTAGGTAGCAAAGGGGTTATAAGTAGAAGGGAACATAAGTGGGGTTTTATAAAGGTCGCGAAGCAGAAAGAAAATGATAATGGTGGTTTCTCGGTTGTCTATTTCTATGATTTTTTAATTTCTATATGTTTGCGGTGATATTTGTTTGTTTCATTAAGGTGAATTTTTCTTCACTGAATCCCTAATTAAAGATTGATTTTGACATGATTGTTTTCTTACAGACTACTATTTGGATTGGTGCATATATTCAGTTCACAAATGAGGAATCTGAATGATAAAATGAGTTGAGTTGTATTGAAGACTGCTCCTTTCATTATTTGTCTATGTTGTTATTAGGTAATAAAGCACAATTCTTTTCTGCAGAAGATATGTAGCTCTCTACAAAATATAAATTGTGTTTAATTATATGCAGTTTAATTTGCTAAAAATATTGCTTTAATAAGTTAGTGACAGCTGATAGTTTTGTTTTTGGTTGGTTTTGCTAGAACATTTCAATGTAATTAAACAAGTACGTAGGAGATTGATGGACATGGATGCTAATAATTTTCCTCATTATTCCAATATTGTATGTGTAAGTGATAATACATGATATTCATGGGATTTAGATCGGAATATTCTCTATTCTCATATACCGACATATGAGAAGAGAGAGAAAATAAAAAGCTCTTCGCTTATTTTTTTTATTAATTGAAGCACATTTTCTTATTCTAACTTCTTCTTTTGTGGCCGTAAGTTTTTTAACTTCTTTATCACAATTTTGTGCTAAAGAATGAATAATCTCTTATGTTTATAATCTTAAAGGGTGAGTTCGATAAAAAAAATTCTAAATCAATAAAGAACCGTCTATAAAGAGCTCAGTTAATAAAATTAAAATGTTCATAAATAAAAAAAAAGGTATAAAAGTATGAAATAATACCTGAAATAAGGTAAGTAGGATTTACAATTCCATGTATATTACCTTAGCAAACATAAATAATAATAACAATTAGAATACTATAACGAATTATATAACAACCAAACAAAATACATCGCTCAACGGGCGGGTAAAAAACTAGTAAAGTAAAGGAAATAAATAAATGGTGGGTTGATTCCTTTTGCTTTCTCTCACTCATCCAAAGATGAGCCTTAATTTGGGGTTTATTTGGTTAAATACGGTAAGCTTTCTCTCACTCATCCAAAGATGAGCCTTAATTTGGGGTTTATTTGGTTAAATACGGTAAGCTAGCATTTGGTCACTGAGATTACTAAATCGGGATATGTTTAGTCACTAGAAAATGTTAATATCAAATTTGATCACTGTAATTACTAAAACGGGACACATTTAGTCACTCGCCGTTAGTTGCCGTCCAATTCCGTTAACAGAGTCCGTTATGTGCTGACGTGGCTAACTTGAGTGCCTAGTCAGCATCGTTTTCGGTCGGATACGGTCAAACCGAACCCGCCACATCAGACATCCAACCCAAATCATTAACCCGACCCGACCCAAAAATAAACCCTAACCCACTTAAAGAACAAAACTGATCAGTTTCCTTCTCCTTCCTCTGTCATCCAATCCCACCTCCACGACCACCCCCGCCGTCCAACAGAATCACAGATGTAAAGAAAATTTTCAGGGCTGCGATTCCTCTGCCCTCGGCAACGTCAGAGGGAACAGATTCAGCAGCTGAGGCTCGGATTCTCTCGGGGTCGACACCGGAGAGAGATGCAGAAAGAACCCCTTTCCCGCAATCGCCCGGTCTTCCTCCTCCAACGGCGAGGATGAGCTGCTGTTACTGCTGCAGTTCCCCGCCGATGAGGGGCAGGGTGACAAGGCGCCGTTATTGTGGAAGAATGTGTCTTGATTCAACGGAGTCACTGGGCTCAGCGTCAGCTTGGGGAAATTCAGCAAGCTCGGCGACAAGATCTCCGTAGTGGAGGCGGAGGAAGGGGAAGAAGATGAGATGAGATTGGAATGGAAGCCGAAACGTCCGGCGCCCAGAAGCAGAGTGTTGATCATGAGGCTACTGTGCTTGAAGCTGTTGCTCCTCCTCTCGTAGAGTTGCTGCTGCTGTTGTTTCTTGTTGGGTATGCTTCTGATGGGAGGAATGGGGAAATGGGTGCTGCCCCTCATCGCTGGCGGCGGTTGTAGAGGATCATGGGGAGGAGGCTTGTTTGGCTGTGTCGGCAGATCCGGTGAGAATTTGGACGACTTGCTTGAAAGTTGAGGTATTTTCCTGGACGAAGGTTGTTGGGTAAGGATTTATATGGTGGTGGTGATAATCAGATCTGGGGATCTGGTGGCCGCCATTGGAATTGCTGAAATTACCGTTTGGGGAAGCCAATGGAGATTATTGTTGTCGGAAAAGATGGTTCTGCTGGCTCTCGGATGATGAAGCATTGTTGTACATTAGTGCTCTGCCTACTGCACTGTTACTACTGTTGCCTTTCATTAGTCACTCTGTTTTCTTGCGCAGCCACCGCCGTGGTTGGAATTGCAGGCCATGGAACCGAATTGAAGTTGTGAAAGAAGGAGGGAAATGGTGGTTGTAACTTGTTAGACTGTGGAGAGAGTGGAGAAAGAGAGAGGGATGAGCTTGGTTGGAGAAAAGGAGATTTTCTTTACATCTGTGATTCTCTTATATGGGTTAAGCACTTATGATCGCCGACGGCGGCGGTTGGGCTGACATGGCGGGGGTGGTCGTGGAGTCGGGATTGGATGACAGAGGAAGGAGAAGGGTTTTCGGGTCTGCAAATGGAAACTGATTTGTTTTTTTAAGTGGGTTAGGGTTTATTTCTGGGTCGGGTTGGGTTAATGGTTTGTGTTGGATGTCTGACGTGGCGGGTCGGGTCGGGTTTGACCATTTCCTGGCCAAAAAAGCGCTGACTAGACGCTCACGTTAGCCACGTCAGCACATAACAGACTCTGTTAACGGAGTTGGACGGCAACTAACGGCGAGTGACGAAATGTGTCCTGTTTTAGTAATTATAGTGACCAAATTTGATATTAACCTTTTCTAGTGACTAAATATGTCCCGATTTAGTAATCTTAGTGACCAAATGTGTCTTTAACCCATTTGTGATCATTGGAATAACTAGAGCTGTCAAAATGTAACCCGACCCGAGTAACCCGTCCGATCAACTCGACTCACAACCCGCCCGCAACCCGATTTGACTAAAAGTCAATGACCTGTAACCCGCCCGACCTGCAACCCAATTGACCCGCAACACGATTAACCCACAACCCGATTAACTCGCAACCCGATTAACCCGCAACCCGACCAACCCGCAACCTGACTAACCCGAACCCGTAACCCGACCAACCCGCAACTCGACTATAATAGAAGGAATTCGATGAAGATAAACCATAAGTTGACATTTGAAATTCTAGTTCACTAAAGTCTGATCATTACATCATCAATTATTGACTTAGTATAATAATATACATCATCAATCTATAATGAGTGTAATGGGTTAGGATATAAGGTATTAATGTTTTAGGCACGATTAGTCAAAAACTCAAAATAATAACTTATAACTAATAAGGATCAAGTTTTTTATTACACGTGTTCATGAATCAAACCATTAGGGGTTTAGGGTATATAGACTATAGAGACGATGTATAGGGTATATGGTTAGTCTAATGGTTTAGGGTATAAGGTATTAATGGTTTAACAATTATTAGTCAAAATCATAACTAATAAGATCAACTTTTCTTATTAACACATGTTCATCAATCAGAATTCAGATTATTAGGGGTTTAGGGTATAGGTTATTGTAACACCCCACCCAGAATTTCTGTGGTTGAACCCGTGGTTCAACCGCGCAGCCAAATCCTTGGTGTTACTGGTTGAACTCAATCATCTCAAACATCATATCCGATTATTAAACACAAACATAAACCGTTATCATACAAACTCATTATTCGATCCCCAACCCACTTATTGAATTTTACAAAATGTGGGTTATTATTGAAAACACTCAAAGCAGAAATCCTAAGTGACCATGACAGAACAGTGTTCCAAACTACCTCATGATGGTAGTACAGAAGAATAGGGCAGCCTTAGTAGTCCGATCCTAGTTGCACCTGCGAGCCTGAAAACAAACGTGGGTCAGCAACTAAGCTGTGTGTGTGGATCTTTCCCACAACCTAATTTTGGGACCGCAATCAGCTAATCAAACAATCGTAATCAATCACAATTTAGTACTCTAGATGCCATCTTAAATCATCATATATATAAATTACCGATCAAATTATCGAATCCACCAACTCATCATCACTAAATCAATTTATCAAATAAGATAATTAAATTACCGATCAAATTATCGAATCCACCAACTCATCATCACTAAATCAATTTATCAAATAAGATACACATAATTTCACGAACACACATAATCAATGCATGATATGAAAATTCCGATTAATTATTAATGGCGCCAAAGTCACCATACACTTACCCTCGCTCGAGCAAATCATCATCCGTGGTGCTCATGCAACCACAACACTCAATCCGTGGTGCTCATGCAACCACAACACTCAATCTGTGGTGCTCATGCAACCACAACACTCAATTCGTGGTTTTTAACCACAACACTCATCCGTGGTGCTCATGCAACCACAACACTCAATTGCATAAGCGAGCTAAATCTACCCACTCTCAAGGGGTGAGGGTAAGTGCAGGCCCTTTCTACATCTATGTGAATTAATATGATCACGAATCAAACCATTTTCATTTTTCTCATTCATCACAAACAATCCGGAATCAATGTAGTCTCACTGATTAACCGATCCATATATATATTTCCCGTTGATTATCAACTCGACGTTTCTAAAAATCAATTATCCCACCATCCAATACCAAATCACATAAATCATCTCCTTCTCCAATAAAGCTACTCAGCAGTACCATATCACCATTTCTCATCCAAAATTCATCAACAATTTCACGAAATAGCCCCGATGCAAATAATTGTAAATAACCTGGTTGCGGTTAAAAATGTCCTTATCTCAAAATTCACTTCCCTTCATTAAAATCCTCACAAAATTCATGTAAATGAATTTATTGACACAAAAATCCATTTAATCTAGTTCTGGTCATAAAAATCAATTTAGACAATAAAATATCAAAAAACTCGTATTAACAATTATTTTATGGTAACTTAAATTCCCACAAAATGGTAAATCCGAAAATCTCCCAAAAATACAAGAACCTTCATTTATCATCCTAAAACAGGTATGTCCAGTTTTTATATTTTTCAATAGCTCAAAATCATGAAAATAATATTAAACTCGGTCTTTACCGCAAATCTCGTATTAAGCTCGTTTTTACCATTTTAAAGATAAAAACTCCACCAACTGTCAAATTTACTATTTCCAGATCAAAACTCATTTAACAATCCATACTGACTATTTTAAAGTGATCAAAATCTTAAAGATAATTAAAACACGTTTTTACCGAATTTTCCGTAAAATTCACCGTTATGCAGTTTTTAATCCAGAAACAATTTTCAAGTGAAACCTTCTGCTCAATATGCCCCAACATCATTTTAGACAAACACAAAAATCTCTTAGATCAGTTTTAAACTCAATAAACCCAACTATTCATTTTTACGGTGAAACTTGTCAAATACCGATATGTACACCATAAAATCCGCAACAATAAAGATTAATCACCAAATAATCATATCAGCAACCAAGTCATCAACCACACCAATCCATCCATCCAAATATGCAAATCAAGCATAAATAATCGATGCAATAATTAAGGTCCTCTTAATCCCCACACACCTTAATTTAGCTGATTCCAAGTCAGGAATTAAGTTCTAAAATTCCAGATATTGGCTCCCAAAAATTCTTCTTGTTTCTACGGTCCTGTAGGCGAAAACGGTTTGTCGTTTGGACTTCAAACGAAGAAACTGCGAGTTGATCATCGTTAGTACGAAGTTACGGATTAATTGTTAATTTTCTGCATGTCCCAAAATCTGCAGAAAACTGGAAATTTTCTCACCTCGCGTACCAACTTCCCAGCCTTGTTTCTCCCTCGTGTGAGCTCGGAATTCAATTCCGTAAACTCTGTTATGCTCGTGGAGACTTGCTCTTCGCAACGGTATCAAGCTTCGTAGCTGATACTACCTTTATTGGTGCTGGGTTGGCTGACGAAAAGGTTACGGCAAAAGTTTCGGCGAAGAATATTTGGTGAGTTGGTTTGACGATTTTGGCTTGTAAATAGGTTTGTATAGGTTCTAAACCTTTGCTGGGAATACAGAGGCCATGCTAGGCTTTGGTTTCATATTATTTCTTTTCTTTTCTCTTCTTGGTGTTTGTACGAAGGCAAAAATGGAGAGCTAGCTTACCGGTATTATAGAGCTCTTTGATTCATGCTCTTACCTCTTCATTTACTCTCCAGCAGATGGAGTAAAGGCCTGGGGCGGCCTTCTAAGGAGTAGTAGCTTTGAAAGGAAGAAACTCAAGTTCCAAAGCCGGCTCCATAAACAAGCTAGCTGCTGGTGCAATGCCTACGTCATTAGCTCATTAATGACTCGGCTCCTTTTGTAACATTGAATCCAGCGTAGTCTACTGGTTAGTTTGCTAAACCCTTCCTTTCTAACTAACAGATCAGAGGTTCAATTCCTATAGCTAGCAGTTGATTTTTTTGATGCACTTTTTGATGTTTTGGGGAGTTTTCAAGTGGTTTGGTTGATCCTACCTCGTATAGGATAACTTCTCGATTTTTTTTTCCAGTCTCGAATCGTGCAATATACGTCCGCCACTTGGAAAAAATTTATCCGAGGTTCGGGATGTTACAGTTATAGAGTCGGCTTATAGGGAAAAACCTATAGTTTCTTACTCTATGTCATCAAACAAAAAGACTATAGTTTCTCAAATTAACGCACATTAGCACTTTATATATAACACCCTTGATCAAATTAACGCACATAATGACACACATATCAAGCTTTAACATTTGGTTGATCCTACCTCGTATAGGATAACTTCTCGATTTTTTTTTCCAGTCTCGAATCGTGCAATATACGTCCGCCACTTGGAAAAAATTTATCCGAGGTTCGGGATGTTACAGTTATAGAGTCGGCTTGTAGGGAAAAACCTATAGTTTCTTACTCTATGTCATCAAACAAAAAGACTATAGTTTCTCAGATTAACGCACATTAGCACTTTATATATAACACCCTTGATCAAATTAACGCACATAATGACACACATATCAAGCTTTAACGCGAATTGGGAAAAACCCAAATTGACCACCATCACCAACGGGGCCCCCTTGCACTTCAATAGACGACTGCGGATCTTTGCTGCCTATGTGAGCCACCATGACCTTGGCCTCCATGTCTACCAAGTCTGGTAGCAAATGCGATCCAGCCCCACAATGTAAACATCACCACTGATATAGCAAGGCACGCAAAAGAATTGCTAGTCAAGAAAAGAAACAGGGGAGCAGCCTTTGTAAATACAGGGCATGCTACTTTCTTGTAAAGTTGAGAGATTCTATACCTGATTTCTACTCTGACAGTAAGCATTATTCAATTCATTACCTTCTGGTAATTACTTTAGTTGCTCGACCACTTTGGCCCTTCCTCTTTCCTAATATTTGTTCTCCTGAAATTGAGAATCAATTAGTGCATATGGTAGGTTAGTTGATGATAGTGAAAATCAATCTATATTTACTTCTGATTTATACAATCAACAATTTCCTAAAACAAAGAAGGGCAATTAGGGTTAGTTGATGACAGTGAAAAAAGAAACCACACAGTAATCTTCCAGAAAATTCAGGGGCAACTTGAAAATCACACCTTGTTGTATCATACAGCCGTACTGATCCGCCCAGTGTCACAAAACATCTCCACTGGCTGACCTAGGCGAAATTGCCCTCTGCATATAGTGTGTAAGCTTATTATATTGCTAGGAGAAATTAGGTGAACGAATCAACTCTGAACCAATGCTAAGCATAATGTTTTCAAGGGTTCCAAAGACAAGAAATGGATTAACTAAATGCCAGATTCACTGTGAAAGTATACATAGTTAATAGCATAAACTGGGCACACCCACAAGCTATAAATCAACTGCATTTTGCACCTCAGGTTTGCTGTCCAACTACAAACAGAACATGCCAATTGCATGAAACTCTCTAGGAAACAAACCCAGGTTTACTCATATCGAGTATGGCTGTTATGCAGAGCTCGGGGGCTATTGATTTGTGGCGGAGCTGTTAGCTGAAGCTCCTGCTATAGAATTAGACAGAAATTGAGAAATTATGACCTAGATTCCTAAAATCAAACCAACCAAAAGTTGTGCATGTCCTAACCACCATTATTTTCATGAGAAGTACTCGTCGGGGATGACTCCTTCCTCCTCGAGGTTTAGAGCCGAAAGCCTCTCCACGGCAAGGTGGCCTCTCTGCCGGAGATATCCAAAGTCAGCGTGCTTCCTTCCACGGTCAATGCCCCTTAGACAAATCAAGAAAAATAGAAAAAGTACATTAGAACCCTAAGAACCAACAATAAATGAATCAAAATCGAGCATGCATTAGGTTTTATTAAGTTCGTCTTACCTCAGCAAAAGCCACCGGCATCGTTTCATTCCCATAAATCCCATCGTACAATCGACCCGAAAAAGAGATGTAGGGAGAAATCAGATTGAGTAAAGAAGAGGGAGATTAGGTTACCTTCGGTTTGTATCTTTTATTTGGGCGGAGTTTGACTCTAGGAAAGGAAGAGAGAAGTAGAGAAGAAGGATCCAACTTTTCTTATCTCTGCAAAAGGAAGAGAGAACGAGAGAATGAAAAGAAGGAAGCTTTTCTTCGTATCTGGGAAAGGAAGACAGAACGAGAGTTTAATTTGGTTTAGAATTTTGTGGGTGGGAAATTTTGGGCGGGGGAAAATGTGTGGGGGGAAACTTTTTCATTTTGGTGGGAATTTTTTTAAAGAGAATTGTTTCGTTTTTTATTTTGGGAGCCAAAATTCCTTTCTTTACACTGTGAAGTTTTTGTTTCACTTTTTCTGAAATCTTTGGAGCCAAACAAAATTTTTGGAGGCAATGAAAGTTTGGAGGGAAAAAACTTAAATCTCACTCTTACAATTTGCAGCACAATTTTTTATGAAAGAAATTACCACAATTGTTCACTGAAATTATCGGTGATTAATCATTAATCATGGGAAATGAATACTCAAAATTTAATAAATAAATTCCTGTGACTAGAACTATATAACTAATTACAGGACTTTTTACCGTAATTATTAGTATTGTTTTTAACACAGGAAACTTCCCCGTGAATAAGATCCCGTGACTAGAAATTAGTTTTCCTGTAGTGCTAGGAGCTCTACAGAAGCGTTGGCTACAGCAGTCCTTACCTTGGGTATCGATTGAGAGTAGGATCTCTATTTGCTTCACTTCAAGCTACTGAAGCATTGACGACAACAGTCCTTAATTACCAAAGCTGGTCCAAAAATGATCAACTACACGAGAAAATACGTATAAACCCTGATCAATTCTGCTCACCTTTATCGATGGAGAAACAAAAGGAATGGCTAAGGAAATAGCAGAGAGAGGAGAAGAGATTATTGAGCATAGCTCAACCTTAGCTAAGGACGGGGGCAAGCAGCAGAGCAAAGAAAACAAAATGGAACTAAGTGTGTATGGAAGGATAGTTGGGTGGTTTTATACCACATCGTTGGTGGAAGGAAAATTTCACACTTCACACAACTATATAAAATTGGTAGTTTTCGTATTCAACTAAGTTTTGAAAACGTCAAATAAGTGGTCTTAACAATGGGCCGCGAATTTTGGTGTTTTTCTGGCCCAGTAGTGGCTCTTTTGTGGTCGTTGTAAGGTATATCCTATTGGGCTCATCGTTGGGCTTTGGTTAGTCGTTTTTTATTGGTTAACCGGGACCCGCCGTGTTTCGACCGATTATGGTTAGTTTAACCGATTAGCAGCTTTCGGCTGTCAACAATCGAACCGAAATGTTTTAATAGGTTATTGGGCAGGCCGATAACGGGCACCTATACTTGCTTGTGAACATGTGTTTGTATGAGTTCTTGCTTGTGAACATGTGTTTGTATCACTTTTACTTAGACAACCATAATATTATGATCTAATTTTACAAGTCTAAAAGTTTTAGGAGGAACTTACTGATGATTTTGTCTGTTTCATTTTGTGTATGATTTGAGTTTCTCTTGGTGTAGGTAGGGTTTGAGAAGGTAAAAATTATTTTCTTTACATCTGTTTTCTTTTTTTCTGTATTTATGTTGTTTGCTGAGGTAAGGAATCAATTTATTATTAAGTTTTTGGCGGTGATGTTACACAGAGCGAAGTTCCCCCTAATACTACTGCCCAAAAATTTGATTCCCCCCCACCCGCCGAGACCCGCCAATAATTCCCCCCTGTAATGTTTCCCCAAAATTTTGTTTCCCACCACCTTTGAGTCTTTGACTTTGAGTAGTGATTCTTTTTTTTTTTACAAGTATTGTGCTAGCTTCATATAGTTACGATTTACGACTTACTAGTAATCACTAAAAAGTAACGCGATGTTCTGGTCTGTAAAACCCGCAACCCAAACCGCCCGACCGCAACCCGATTGACCCGCACCCGATTGACCCGTAACCCGATTGGCCCGCAACCCGATTGGCCCGCAACCCGATCAACCCGAACCTGATGAACCCGCAACCCGACCAACCCACAACCCGAATGAACCCAGCCCGAACCCGCCCGATTGACACCTCTAGGAATAACCCCTACGCCTTTTTATTGCCCACATTCTCTACCTTCCACCGTATGACCTCACATATTCACTACTGCTTGGTTAAGTTGGAAATGATGTTGTTCGCACACACAGTTCGCGCCCAAGCCAACCTTGTAGCTTAACCAAGATTTTGCACTAGCTTTGTTTGATGAACCACTCCGCACCATTGTAAACCAAAGCCATAAAGGCTATAGAGCCAACATGATAGTGAAGTTGCAGTTTCACTGCACCATGGTTGGAGCTTGTGCTGAGAATCCAAAGCAAACCATATAGAAAATCATGGTTTAGACTAGACCGTACGGTTTGGTCTAGACTGTGAGCCATAATCATGGTCTGGTTTGGGGTCTCGCCATGTAGTGTGTGGTTAAGCAATCTAGACAGCGAGAAACTGCAATTAACCATGACAGACCGTGACCCACTACGCACTAATCTAAACCAAAACAACACCAAACCTCCATTTCTGCATTTGGAAGAACAAACTGCGAGCCTGATCAATCCGATCATGGCGAGCAAACAGTCTAATTTTCCTATTATAGATTTCAGTACAAGCACGAAAAATCTATTGATTCTTCATCTAACTCAAAACCAACAAATTGTTTAAGTGATCCCTTGTGTGTTATCTCCTAATGAAATAACTACACAAGATCAGGAAAATATGGAAAAATCATCTCCACTGGCAATGCATAGACTACGGAGTCAATAATATTGAAATGCATAACAAAATTTATTTATGTTGATGAGATAAGGGAAATTCCGACGAGCGAAGTGGCCAACCTAGTGGTTCAAAACGACATCGACTTCGTCATGGTGGAGATTGAGAGCGAGAACCTTTCAGACCACCAGGAGAGAAAGAGGAAGAGGGAGACGAAGCTATTTATTAAGTATTCTATTTTTAGTGGATACTAGATAGAGTAGTGGAGAGTAGAGTAGGATTAATAAATAAATAAATAAATAAGTTCACTTATCTCTTCATATATTTTTCGTGGGTTAATTATGGTTATTAATTTTATTTTTCACTAGGATATTGACCACTGAAATTTTTATTTTTACGAATACCGGAGAAAATAGGAGGGAGGCAGAAGAGTGAAGTTTTGTTGAACATGGTCTATCTGGTCCAAATCATATTGGATTGCACTGTACAAACGTGATCTGATCTGAACTGCATTAATATATAATCTAATCCATGATATATGTTCTACCTTCTCAATCTAGACTGTAGACCGTATATATGATCCGATCATATTCGTGTTGTGGATATTGTACATGTATATCATATTTCTTGCAATATAAGTCACATATAGGAATTAAATTGAACAAAACGTTAAGAAGAAGAAAACACGACTCATGCATAAACCCCGTCCGAGCCAATAGAATTCACTATTTCTCATTAAGGAATTTAGTTCCCCTCTATGGTACCCAAGGTTAATGGAACTATTCCTCCCAGGATAGCATAGTTAGTAAATACTCCGTTTAATACATATATTTGTGCTCATACGTATTTTATCCATTTAAAACTTCAGTATCCGTATTATTGTCAAGCCGTTTCATTTTCCCCCGTTCATTTGATGGCTCCCGTACTAAACACGTATAAAACCCGTATAACATGTTTAATATCCGTATTTTGTTAACTTTACTATTATTTATATATTTATTTATTTTTAAAATAATTAATTTTATATATTTGTTACTATTAACGTACTATTAAATGTAACATTATCTTAGAGACGCCGTAAAATACCCGTACGTATTTTATGTGTAACTTTCTCGTACTGTATTTTACTAACTATGCAGGATAGAATGGACGTACTTTTTCTAGCGTCCCGGTACTTGAAACCCCAGAAACTAGCGAATGCAACAAACGACGAGAAGTCACACGACTCTGTTTTCTTTTATGTGTTTATAGAGAGGAAAATGAAATGAAAAGAAAACTATTTTCTTTCTTTCGACCGAAAAACCTTTTAGGAAAACTCATGTATGAAAATAGAGGAGGATGATGCTATTTATAGAAAATAAGGGGGTGTGAATGAAGGGATGTGACCCTTCGGGTGGATTCACAACCAACACATTGGTTCATTTTAAAATAATGAACTATTGCATTGGTTCAACCCATGATAATTGAACCGGTTGGTTCACTTCAACCGCCACATTAATTTGGTTCAACCGATTACTCACCAACTATTCGCTTCTTCCCCTTTCATTTTCATTCACACCATTCAAAATCCCAACAGTTCGGACCGCGCACTTTTCCCCTAGTTGGAGCCACGAAGTTACTCTAGATATATAGCTATTCACCAAACTACCTGAGTGCGCCCTTGTTTTGTTCTCATTACAACACCCTCGTCTTCAACCAACGAAAACGTGAAAGAAGAACCAGAGAGAAACGCCCAAAGATGGCGTGTGAGACAAGCCATCTTCAAGCTCCTAGCTCTCCTTCCCCTCTGGGCAGAGCTATGAGCTATCCACTGCCAACTAACTTTTGCCTTGTTCCGCTGCTTCACTACTCCAGAGAAATCCGAACAAGCCTTTTCAGTCATCTTTATAATCTTCTGAACTTTATATATGTCCATCTGCCATTAACTTTGTACATCACTATAGACCAATTTTATCTCATGTAAGCATGAGAAATGTATTGCTTTGATTCAGGCTATCGAAGCAGAGCTTGTCTAGGGATCTCCGACTCCAGTCTTTCCTCAACCTTCATGCGAAAGACCGGAGGAACTTCTACAAGGAATTGGAGTAGAACAGACTGGTTACCATCCCCAGCCATGGAAGCAAGCAATGAAAGAGGAAAGAACACAAGAAACAAGAGGTGATAGATTAGATCTCTACTGAACAATATAAGTTCACATTTCTCTTTATCCCGCTTCTGGTAGCAGGGTCTATCCACTTTGCACGGTGCAATTACAACTATATAATTTAAATGAAAACTAGAGGAAAGCAACTCAATAAAAGAACAAATCGTTTGAAATAAACAAACCATGATTTCTTCTGAGATTTTCAGCGAGCAAGTCTCAGCTGATCACAGCGAAACGCTAATCAATTTGGTTTCCCCTATTTCTGAGCTACCCTTTGGACTCGCCAAGTTCGACGTCCTTGATCAGTGTGCTTTCCACTCCTTCCTTCAAAAGTTTGATCTCCTCCTCGGTAAGACTGTTCTTGGCGTGCTGTATCTTGCTGCTGGAACTCTTTTCGGCCTCCACTGCCCAACTATAGACCACCATACCAAGGACTGCAATTAACATCCCAGCTATGTTCTTGAAAGTCAACTCGGAGTCAAAGAGCAGCCACCCCAATGTGAGGACACACACTGTTTTCATGTGACCTAAAACCTGAAATGAAACTGCAGAGAATCTACCAATGCAGAGATACTGGCTGATATTGCAGAACACCGCCAGCGAACAAGATAGAAGTATGAAGACCTGCACAAGTCCACATATATATGTTACTTTGATCAGATAATATAAGTTGCTGCAAGACTACTACAGAGATTTAGTGTACCCTAAATCATTAAGGCAATAGAAACAGTTCTTACAATGGCTCCAGACGACATCTGGTAGTTGAATATAAACTTGCCATTAAGGAAATAGTCGATAAAAGGTCCGAAGACAAGAAGGGAGACGGCTTGAATAGGAGCTGTCCGGCTCAGCAGCTCAAATGATCCAATAGAGTACTTCTTTTGAAAGGAACCTATGGTCTGTCGGACAAGTGAAAACAGTTGTTGAGTATACAGTTCGATAACCAAACATTCATCCTACAAATCCAGACTAGACAAGTACTTTAGCTATTAATAACAATATTCACAGTCCAAATAACCATGCATCAGCATTGCATGCTTAAGTTCAGGTTTAGAATGTTTCCAGTAATTGATTGTTCCTCTTCATAGTCATAGGGTTAGCTAGCAAGTAGTTACTACTCGGAAAGGACATCAGTATTTATAATGTTAGGCATGGCGTGATCTTTTGCTGAAAGTCAGTAACCTAATCAACACTAACTTCATTCATACCTGGTGGACGACATGATAATGAATTTCGCGAGCCAGACTACACAGGAATTAATAGCTTCAGGCCTTGCTTTCCAATGAAAACAGGGAAGAAAATATGGGTCAACAGACCAAGTGATCATTTTGAGGATTCCAAAACAAGGGACTAAATGTTACAAGTTGGGGTCTAATTCCGCTTCAACGATAGGGCTATACCCATGTATGAGCTGAATTATCCATTCCAGGAGTAAAAGATCAGTACTTGATCCGTTTGATACAGAAAAAAACAGTTGTATGATAATGATCGGCAGTTTGGCAGGCAGAAAAACAGTTGTACAGATAGGAAGTCCAAGGCAAGAGAGAAACGGAAGGTGAAAGGAAATACTCACAATTTGCTGCAAGGATGTGCAGAGCACAGCGACACAAGCACTGAGAAAACCTTTGGCGTTAACTTTGACATCAGTGACTGTGCAAACACCAACGCCCACCACAACAACCATAACGGATAGCTTGACTTCTTTGGAGTACTGCTTACTGTGAAGGATCCACTCCATGACGCAGACCACTGGGATCATGCTGAGTTTAGAAATCTGCAAAGTGGGTTATATCAGGAAGTGGGAGGCAATCGGGGGGGAATCAAAAGCAAGCAAGAAAGAAAAGCATACTTACTTGGTAGAAGCCGACAGAGTTGAGCATGAGACTCAGGTTCATGCCAGTGATGGACATATTCGCAACGATGGAGAACCAGAGGAGCTCCCACATGGGGACATACTTGGATGCGGACAATCCAGTGGCATTGGAGACCAGGCCTACCAGTGCCGTGACCGCGAAGTGGAAACCGGTCAAGGTGGTCGCTGAATTCAAAGAAGAAGAAAAGAGATTCAGAGCGGTAACAGATCAATGGCCGATTATGGAGATCTGGTAGAGGAATCAAAACTTTCTACTAGAAGAAGAAGGGTGGAAAAAATAGAAGTGTGATGGGGGAACCGACCGAAGGCGAAGCCATAGCCGCCGGCTGACATAAGCTGCTTGTTGGCCATGATGATGCCGACGGAGCTGATGACGTTCATGGCCCACGCTCCGACATCGGAAACTGCGGATCTCTTGCCGTCGGCCTCCATCGCACCCCGCCGCAAGGCTGAGAATACCCACCTAGGATCCGCCGAAACCTGAAGAGGGTAGAACCGCTAACAGATCTACCTCTCCACCCACCCCCTAGAATTAGCAGAAAAAACTCTCCAACCCTTGGCCGGAAGATGCGATGCGGGAGAGAACCAAGCCCGGCCTGGGGAAACAGACAATTAAGGTCCGTTGGAGGGAGTAGGGAAGTGGGAAGCAGGCAGATGAGATGAGGGTGGGATTTGGAATTTAAAATGGCAGCGGTAACAAGCAAAGTGCCTTGCTTTGCTTTGATGGACTAATCGAGGGGTGTGGAGTTCAATTGAACTGAACTGAGTTGAATTGAATTCCAAAATATAGGAAAAGAAAATAATTTCGTATTTGTTTAAAGAGGGTTTTGGGCCAGGGAAGGAAGGCAAGCTGGAGTCGTCAGGAAAAGGAAAGACGACAAAGAAAGAGAAAAGCTTGACAGGATCTGGAAGGTGGTGGGAGAGAGAGGAGGAGGCAGAGGCAGAGGCAATTGGGGATTTGGGGTTGTGCTGTTGCGGGGGAGACGGCGTTAGCCTAGGTTGCGTGAGTTGCTGGGCTGCTCTCTCCAGACGGTGAGGTTACGGCGACGAAAGAAGTGAAAGAAAAGGGAGCGTTCAACTAAAACAAAGGAGATGTCAATCCTTCCTCTCAAATGAATGACAATTCAATTCCCAATCACTAAACCATTCCAATTTTTTCTTTATAATTTCTCTGTCCTTTTCTCGCGGTAAAAAATTATTCAAGGGAAAGAAAGAAGAACCCAGCCAATACATTGTTTCATATTAGGTATGAGCTATAGCTGTGAATAATTTTACAGACCACTGGTAGGCAGATGAAATTAGGCAAAACTATCATGTGAGTTAGGCTGCACAAACAAAGACAGCATATCCATCTCCCCCGCACCGCATCTCTCCAATCCAATGTAGCACTGTGTCGGTGGTGTCATGTGCTGCGGCGCCCTTCCCCTCCTTTTTGCATCTTCTCGTTGTGACAAACAAACAAGAAGCTTCAAGCGTCACCCGAATCTCTAGCGAATGATAAATAAAATGACTTTCACAGACTCCAAATACGTGCCAGTGCTCAGGTTTCCAATCGTCACAATCAATCAAGTAAACACCAAAACTGCGGTTCGCAAGATAATCCGCAACGTGAATATTTTCTATGCATAAGTTACGAGCAATAACAACATTCTAGACACAATTCAACCCTGCAAACTGAATCGTGACAGTAACATAAGATGATCGGTGCAAAGGCAAAGGAGCCCGGATCTGGCAAGGACCTTCAAACAAACACCACATTTTTGTTCTGAAAAGTTTCCGAGGCACTCCATCTTAATTGGTGATTGTAAGATAATCAGCCAGCTTTATACGACATTATCACTTAACATGATGGCAATATATGCCATACGCAACCAATCCTTTTGAAGCTGCAATACAAACCATTGCCGCTAATAATATATATACAGACAATTTAAAAAGTGTCCTCTTATAGTTTGTTATCAACCACACGTATGTTGTTGACCATTCTTCCTAGAAGCCAAAAAAACACCACCCAACAAGGGCACATGGAAAAACGAATCAGACAACATTGCTCACAACTTGAAAACCATATTACAGCAGCGATTTAACTCGAGAGAATACTCGCTAAATTAATACATCCACTACTCAACCAAATACAATAATACATGCACTGCCAAACAAATTACCAGCAAAAAACACAACTAGACTATTGCCATCGAGCTTCTGGGATCTCAAATGGGCGCACAACACTGTTCACGCTAAACCCTCGCAGTGCTGGATAAAACAAAGGCATGCCAGTTCAGGAAATTAGCATCAGCAACCTTTCTGAGCTATATATATATATATATATATATACACTATTGACATATAGCAAGCATATACCATTGGTACGTTTAATGACTGGTGCCCTGGCCGCCTGCTGAAGAATATCGATTTGCACCAGGTGGTGCTGTTGGCCTCGGGAAGTCGTAGTTAAACTGGCCACCAGCAACCTGTGGAGACTCCACGTACGGGCTCTACAATGTCCCCCAAGTTTTCCAGTAGAGAGAGAAATGAGGTTAGACAAGACATCCTAAAATCTACATGAAAAGATAACCAAGACCAACAAGATTATTGCTTCGCTTTTGTTTACTCAACTCCTCTCCTTTCCATTCGTGAATTAGGAAGACAATAGTGTGACACGTCATATTAAACCAACATGCAGGTGCGTTGATGCCACTACAGGCGATGGACCTCACGGGCACAATGCAATAGTTAACAGCATCTCTACAATAGTCGTTCTTTCCTACTAAATATATCAATTTCCCCAATTTGACAGTTCAAACTCATTATTAGATCATCTCTCAGTTCCTCCAACAAACGTTTTGCAAAAGAGGTTGACGATAGCAACCACTTGCAGAGGAAGAACGACATTTAAATCATCATAAGAAAAGGGGAGATAGGCAAATAGCCTCGCAGATATGCAACAAACTTATTTACACAACCTTATTATCCCAAATTCCATGATGTAAAAATTCATGCACTCAAAGAAGAGGAAAGTCACAGGCAGCAAATATACCTGTGAGAACAATGAGCTGTAAGAAGATCCCTCAGTTGTACCAGACTTGGGGGATGAGCCAGGAGAAAACGCTTCATAGCTTGATTCACTTCCGTGCAACTTATGCAGGGCACTGCCTACATCAGCTTCGCCCTCACTTCCATTGGTCGACGTTACTCTCTAGGAAACAATACCAAGGGTGCTTGTGTTACTCTTAAGTTGCATTCAAGTCTCATAAGGAGATACTGGGCACGAACAACAAAGAGAAGTCGTACCTGAAAGACTTTACCAAGAGTCTTCAATCCCTTTGCTCGAGAACGAAGCTCCTCTTTCCTGACACCATTCTCTTGAAGAACCTAACATTTCACGAACATTTAATGAATGAAGGACCTGAGTCCTGAAACCTGCTGGAGTATTGAAGAATGGAGAATCTAACAAGTCTAGGCAAACTACCATCTGGCAAACATGGGAAAGAGTAGCCTCAATGTCTGCTACATTAAGCTTCCATAAGGAGTCGATCATTAGCTTCTTATGAGTTTGCATGTATACTTCAAGCTCTTCCTCGGTATAATTTCCTTCAGCATTGAGCTGCTTTTTCATGTCCTCTTGCAATTGGATCAAGGCAAGGGCACCTGCGGCCAACCAGGCACAAGACATGAAAATAAGTCTTTCATAAGCCAATGATAAAGATGTACACATAAGTTCAATGCAAATGACTTGATAATAAGCCAAAAACGTAAGTACCTACTCATAACTCATGTTTTTATTTTTGATAAGGGTGGTATAGGTTTACTTTTTGTGGTTAGTAGCTACTTAAGAGATTCGAACCTGGGAACTTCCAGGTTCAATACTAAAGGTAAAAGTGTAAAACCCTACTCATTTGTTTATTAAAAATATATTCAAGTTACCTGAGATCAACCAGGAAGAATACGTATATCCATAAATGTATGATATCACCCAAGTCTATTAATCTACGACAAATTGACAACCCGTGAATACTGTTTCAGGAGAATGGGCGGCTACAAGGAATGGCATCTCTACTACAGCATGTCTTCTCTACTAACCTGTTGCTGCAGTCACCTGGGACTTGATGAAATGCCCTTTGTTTCTGAACCATTCAGCAACGAACGGCACACCCAAGTATATAGCTTTCTTACCCAACTCTTTGGCTGCTTGTCTTGCATAAATGTAGCCAATCGTGTTCAACATGTCAACACCATAAGCTGGAGAAGACATAACAAACAATGAACACATAAGACATAACAAACAATGAACACATATACAACCACATAGCAGTCATGAAGCCCATGATCCTAATTAGCAAATCATGAAAAGCTATTCATGGGAACAAAATTGTTATACATAACAGTAATATCAAACCATAGGTAGCCACAACTTTGTTTCATGATAAACCAAACGCACGCCCAGTGCATCTAGGTCAATTTTGCACTATCCAGTATGCCAAATCAGAATAGGTTGGCATTTGGTTAGCTTGTCTTGTTCTTGAAAGAATAAGAGCTTGGTCAGAAGCCCAAACCAGTCACCCTTATCCAAATTTAAGTTTTTGGACTCCTATTATTATGGAACCTGAAGTCCATGCTACCTGAAAATAACTAAATAGCACAAGGTCTACTACACAACGAAAGTGTGCCCACTGACAATGATAAAGTAAAATAGTATTCCGGTGAACATTATCTGAACTGGGTTGAAAGTGATGGGCATGAAAGTTCAATTTAACTTGATTGGCCAAAATTTTAATTGAGGTAACTAAATGCACAGCATATGCTCCGGCCACTCTTAGAATTATCCTCCCAGATAAACAGAATTTACCTGCATTCGAAAGTCGAGTTACTTCAGACTTGGCATGTTTAACAAACTCTTCTTTATTTCCTTGAATGTATTGGTGGAGTCGATTTTTTAGTAGTTCTGCTAGTCTTTCTTCTCTCTCCTTCTGAACAACCTGTAGTCAATCAGTTTGTAAATGCAACCTAGACAAGATTAGCAAAGGATTCTCGAAACAGATTAGGCTCGACAACACACAATACGAAACAGATTAACATTATCAAATCAAGAGCTATGCCATGAATTTTTTAGTTTCATAACCCTCAGGGGCCACTGTTTTTCTTTTTCACGGCTAGAACCTAAAGCTGTAGCCTCATAAGCTGGCAAACTCAGACATCCTTCAGATGATGTACAGACATGGAAAGAAAGACCAAGTTGCTGTAGGAATTGTCAATAATAAAACCTTGACCCAACATAAAATCACATGGAAGCAAGTTTTAAAAAACTTTACAAGAGCAGGTTCCACAAAAGGAGGGGGGGGGAGAGAGAGAGAGAGGGAGAGAGAAATGCTTAAAATTTCCAGGCAGAAAGACTATGTTTCCAATTGTTACGGATTCACTTACCCCTAACAATCATCTTCCATAGTCTTTTATTTATCAGTTGATTTTTCGAAAGAAAATCAAATTAATAAAAATATGAAGGCCATCATTTCATATGAAAGGACATCATGTGAAGTGCAGAAGAGGCAAAATTACTCAACATGCAACTAATGGTAATAGATTCTACCCTCATTTTATCTTGCAACTTCTTGGTATCAAATTGCTCCCCTTCTGTGAAAATGTCCATTGACGCCATAGATGCCATGGCGAGCTGTCCTATGTAATCCTCAAAAAGCTCACTACCAAAAAGCATGGCGAAGATTGCTGCAGGATCAATGATCGCTTCACTGCAGTGAGAAACATGCAACAACTGTCACAAAAGAAAGTGGAAATGGAAAAGCAGCATGCAGGACAAAATTCATCAAAACATTATGAGCTGTTAAAGATGAGATGCGTGAACAAACTATTACCAAATATGAGACAAGAATAAGAGACTAACGTTGAAATTCCAGACTTCCCATAGGCATCATAAGCTTGTCTCTGGGTAGAATCACTCAATACTTGGTATGCTTCTCCCAAGACCTGTATCCAAATTCATAACATCACAATAAGGGACAACCAAGAGTAGCCTGAACACCAATTTCAATTCGTTCTAAACTTCAGTACACCAGATAGAGCGGGTCATTTTGAGTTTCAAGTAGAGTAAAAGCAATTGTCACAAAAATCAGGAAGATACCACCAAAAGGGAAAGGGAGAAGCATTGTATGCAATAGAAGAGCAAAATAAGATTTTCCAGGAAAGGGTGATGGGAATCTAGATGAGATTATACCCAATATTGATCCGAGGGATGTCACTTACTCGGACAAGACCTAGACAACTTGCTTATGTTGTCAAAGACGCTCTGAAAGAGTTGTTAATCCCTAACGAAGATGCTGGATTTCGGAATTGGGGATTTCCTACAACTCTACAACTATTCTTGGCCAACAAGGATTTGGAGGAGATGCTTAATTGCAGTCCATGTTGGTTTAGGAGTCTTCTATTATATTTGCTTTATTTATTTTCTTAAGCAAGATTGTTATATGGTTCATAGTAGTACAGTGATTACTTTTCTGTTTCCTAGGTGTAGAAGGAAGTCTTTTCTTTTGGGTTAGCCTCTACATAATTAGAGGGCTTTTAGTTTAGTATATGCATTCAATATTCAGATTTCAATAAGAGCTTTCAAGAGTCGCAAGAGATATTTCCTTGTGATTTCTTAGGCTTATCAACCCCTTGGTTGTGGCGCCTAGCCCCAAACCTTATCACCGACTGGTGTGGCGGCTCTTCCTCCATCAAACCTACCCAATTCCCTAAATTACTCAATTCCTTTCAATTTCCAGCAACCCTAGCTATTTTATTCTCATTGAGATCAGCTTAGGCACATCAAAAGGGCAACATAATAAGAACGGAAAAGGAAAGGAAATGATAAAATGGGTAGTGAAGTACAGGTCTTCTGAACAATTAAACTGCTAAACCCGACCATGCTAGTTCAACTGCTTGCAATTTTTTATACATGGTTCAAATAACAAACGAGTATTTAGCATTTTACTCGTTCTTCCCGGATCTTTTGAGGGACACAACAAGAGAAACCAATTCTCTGCTGTGTTTCAGACATTTTAAACCACGGGAAAACTACAAATAAATGGCAACGTTCACGCATTGTGTTTGTACTGAATTAGAGCAGCTAGTAATAGATGAATGAATCAAATCAATGCTTAATAAAGTGAAATGGAGTAAAAGCAGCATGTTAACACTTAACATATCATTCAGTCAGTCAAGATCTAAAACTCGTAAACACTGTGGACTTGAACCATTCGTCTCTCTAGTCACACGCTTTCATCCAGAAGCAATGTGGGGAAAGAAAAGTAAAGCTGTTCAATGATCACGTAGGATGGTGCGAACCCCCAAGTGGTGCATAGTAAGGGACTTCTAGTTCATGGAACGCTATGCTAATGCTATCAAAAGTTAAGAATCGGCAGTAGACCACTTGCTAAACTTAGAAACGCACTGCTGCAATCACATAACATCATGAAAGTTCAGTGAGGGAAAACTTGCCTGGAAATTTTGTGCCGCCTGAGGATCATTAGGGTTTTTATCTGGATGAACCTGTCGTGCCTGCAGATAAGAGAAGGAGGTAGAAACGTGAGACTAATACGATATGGTACGGAGAAAAGAAAACTACAATGAGACGACGAAGACGCACCTTTATGTAATATGCTTTCTTGATCTCGGCCTCGGTGGCCGTCGGACTGACCCCAAGCACATCGTAGTATTCAGTCTCCTTTACCATCGATCTGAAACCTATATGCAACGGTGACGAGAATTGCAGCCGGTAGATGGAGAATTCTGAATTTGGATAGGTCTCAGTGAAGATGGTGCGAGGGAGCGCAAAGCCGTCAGGGAGGAATCAGAGTAATGGCTAAAGTGACTGACGATTCAAGTTTCTGAAGCTTGGAAGCAGAGGATCTGTTCCTTGATTTCTCGACAATTGGACCCCTTGGCTGGCTGGCTGGTTGATTAGTGGAGGCTTGGATTGGTCAACGATTTCTGGTGGATCTTAGACGATTCTTTGGTTGCTGGCTCAGGCGGCTCCTCGCGGCTGGAAGCATAAGGCGACAGAGAAACGACGAAAACTCTGACCAAGACAGAAAAAGAGAAATGACGAAAACAAAGAAGGCAAAATTCCAGGGCGGATGCGTCGTGTGAGAACTGCGAGGTGCCAAAATAGCGGACTGGGCCTGGTTGTAGCCTGTAGGAATCGCTCTCTTCTTTGCTGGCTGCTTCATCCCGAACCCAAAGAGCTCCATGCGAAGGGCTGCAAACGCTCACAAGAAATGTTGTGTTTAGCCCCTTGGCTCGGTCCAGCAAATGGGTTGACGGTTAATAGTCTCATCGTTTTAGTTTAATTTAGTTTATATATATGAAAAACGTCATTATATAGTCCAAATATTTATAAATGAGTAAAAATATATAACATTACACCGAAATAATAGGTCGTTTTTCGATCAAATATATAGATGCTTAGTCTCATCCGAGAGTTTGTATAGTGAAAATTCATACACATGATTTATATATAACTTCATATCTAGATTTTCAATTTAGAATTTCCAAGATAGGGTTAGGCGAAGAGAAAAATAAAAAAAGACACATTTTGTAAACCAAAAGGTAAAACGACGTGGTGTGACCTCCAACGGGGTACCCGTGGATGAGTGTGACCCATTTTTCTCACCGGATCGAGGTCAAAACGTGTCCACCAGCGGTCGATCCGTGGGTTGACAACCTTTCTCACATGTCACGAGTCTGACGTTCGACTTGGAAAAACTCATTTGAAACTTGACTAGCTTATTAACGAGTTGAAGTTAAACTAAACTTTATTAAGTTTGCGAGAATCACAAGCTACTTTGATTCGGTAGCTCGTTGAGTTTAACATTTGACTTGTTTTAAGTTCACAATCTGACTCAACAGTGTCGCTAACATGTCAGCATGACTAGTGGCTTATTAACGAATCGATCTATAGTCTATGTGTTGACGGGTTTTGAGCCGGGTTTGGGTTTAAACCCGTTTACTATTCACCGAGTTGGGTTGGGTTTGGATTTAGGTAAACCTACCCCATGGGTATCCGCCCACACCCATATAATTAATTTTTCCAGTATATTTAATATTCTAAACAACTAATCTTCTTTATGTTTGTGGAGACATGTCTAATTTTGTCTTTCTAATTGTGTAGAATGAAGTTGATATTATCGAGTGGAGAGTGAAGAAACTTAATGGACGAGGAAGAAGCTTTCAATTAATCATGTTATTTATGGATAATTTGTGATTTGCTTCAATTTTCTTGAGTTTTCTAGATTGGTGTTGAACAATTTGTATGGTTAATTTGTGATTTGCTTCAATTTTCTAGAATGATGTTTTATATAGGGCTAATACCACTACAACACCCGAACTATGAAGAAAATGTCACTTGTGTCATATTCTTTCCAATATTCCATTTATGTCCTGAACTATTTTTCTGTTAAAGTTGACTCGTTTTGACCGTTAGTTTTTAGCACAAAGTCCAGTCAGCGTTGATGTGGTACATGATGTGCAATTTTAAAATAATTAAATAACAACTAAAAAATTAAAATTCCTATCTCATCTACACGAATCCCCCGTCCTCAGCCTGCTCCGCGTCTTCCTCTTACCTACCGCAATCTTCTCCTCTCATTCTATTCGCGCGACGGCTACCTCCCCGATTCCTGTCTAGCAACACCAACAACAACCACCATCGCCATGACCCTTCCATCGGAGATCGACAACTTCCGAGCCTCGCCCAACTACGCCGCTGACCCCTTACACACTCACCAGATCCGAGAGACCCTCATCGACCGCGTCTACGGCGGCACTTGCCCTTTCGATGACTTCCCTCCGCCACAAGAACCTCAAAGGCTCGGGCTCGACCTTCAGAATTGAGCTTTCATCCCTGGTTATCTCGTATCCCACGAATCTGCCCAGTTCCACCGCGATTTCTCTAACTCAGAATCGACGAACTGCTTCTTCGATCGACTGGATATGGGTGGCGATTCTGCATCAAAGGCTTCCCCCAATTCTTCCAATGACGGCCACTATGAACAGATCCAGCTTTCCTGAAAGCTCTTCCCCAATTGGGTCGTTCGATTGAGGTTTTATTGATTTCAATGGATCTCTTTCCCAATTGGGTCGTTGGATTTAGGGATTTGGACGTTCTCGCTCTGGCGGAGGGAGGAGCGCAAGGGGAGGAGGAGCCATGCGAGCTACGAATAATGACTACCACATCTGGAAGAAACCTCCTAGAAACAACATTGACCAGATCTGGTTCCTTCTCATATGTTAAAAATCACCAAGAGAATCAACAACTATGGGAGAGACGTTGTGGAAGTTGTAGTGGAGAAAGAGATCGTGGTGTTGGAGCTCCGACAAGCTCATCGTAGTCACGATCGTCGTCGCCGTCGCTGTCGGATAGCTACCGCGGTCGTCTACACCTCTATCGTCATCAGTCATCGACGTCATGGCCACCAGCGTCCCCGCCACCTTCAGTTGAGAGAAGAGGAACAAGGAGAAAGGAGACGGAGAGAAGAGAAGAGATGGAAAAAACAATTTCGCATTTTGTTAATATCAATTTATTGTAGTTACACTACAAAATTAATGAGTTATATGGACCAGTTTAAGGGACAATCACTTTTTTTTGTCACCAGAAACATAACTTAAGTTAAATAAGGGACGCCCATGCTATAGTTGTCCCCATATGATAATTAGTAGAGTTTGGGCCCAATCAAAATCGTCCCCAGAGAAAATTGTGTATGCGGTGCGGGCCAAAACGATGGAGAATGAAAATGCTAGATTTAGCATTGATGAGCCAATGGAAAGAGTTGTCCACAATGGAAAAGGAAAAATAAAAAACCTTCAACAGGGACGCATGGGTTGAACTGGGAAAGGAAAATGATTACTTTTTCCTTGTTATGATTGAATTATGAATTTTGTTTGGACATATATTCTATTCCTTTTCATATATAGTTTTTATGACAGTTACATTATAAATAGATGGAGGGGGGTCTCCATTCACAACACAATTACACATCAAATTGGCACTATACTTGCTCCCGTAAAAGAACAAATTGCTACTTGCAAGAAGAGAAGTGTAGAGAGAGGAGTAGACACTGTTATACTTCAAGGTATTCTTCAAAAATCTACTACCTCTTTGCTTTTTTTTGTTCACCCTATTTTATATATATACATATATGGTGGCTTCTATGGTACCCCGGGTGAAATCCGGGGTACCGCATACCTCGAGTATGGAAACTCTATCTAGACCTTGAATTACCAGGATTTTTGTGTCTGATATTATACCCTAACCCTTAATGAGTGAATCGTAGGTCATAATTATCTAAATCATAATCTATAAACGCTAAGATGGTGCATTCCTTTTTGTGCCTATATTTGCATGAATCATAACCGTCGATTATTGTTTCTAATTAAATTGATCTTGGAGTATAAGATTGGGAGAGTTAACACCTAGATTTTGATCTTTAAGTGTTAGAGTATAGTATCATGTCCGAAAGATCGGTCAATTCAAGGTCTAGATAGTGTTTTCATACTTAAGGTATGCGGTACCCCGAATTTCACCCAGGGTACCGTAGAACTCGCCATATATATATATATGTGTGTGTGTGTGTGTGTGCACGCTTTTCTTGTTGTTTTTTTTTTCTTTGTGTTTTATATTTCATGTAATCTGTGTCATAATTCATATTTTTTAATTTTTGTAATAGGAGATGGTTCCAAGTAAGGATTGGATGAGCATACGAAATAGAAGAGAATCTGGATTCATTCAAGGCATGAATAGTTTTCTTGATTTCGCATTTTCCCATTCCGCCAACAATGAAGCCATCCGTTGTCCATGTACAAAGTGCCGAAACGTCACATATAAAGGTCGATCAGATGTTCAATTTCATTTGCTAAAGTATGGAATTTTGGAGAATTATACAACTTGGAGCTTCCATGGTGAATGTACCAGTACTACTCCAGGGTCAACCGCTAGCCAAGAATCAAACCAGGATCATATGCTTGAAGATACTCTTGATGATATGGATGGATTGTTAAATGACATTTATGGCATGAGAGGTGAAGAAGAAGATTTTGGTATGGACACTGAGGAGGCTGAAGAAGAACATAATCAAGATGCTGCTACCTTCTATCGCTTACTACAAGAGGCTAAGAAAAAATTGTACCCAAACTGTGAGTACACTAAACTATCGACGATTATGAAACTACTTCATCTTAAAAGTATTCACAAGTGGACTAATAAGTCATTCGATGACTTACTTGGCATTTTGAGGGTCTTAATTCCTGATGGCAAAGTTAATTTGCCCGATTCGTTCTGGCTATGTTCACGGAAATGGAACTGGGTACAAGTCAACTACAAAGGGTATGACAAACAATCAGAATTGGAAGATAGAAAAACTGGAGGCTCAAGTTGTTGACCTAACTGCAAAATTAGCATATCAAGGCAAACAAAATCTAGCCTTAACCCAAAGGTTCGAAAATTGATGGAAATGGTGGAAAATGAAAGGCATGAATCATCTTCTCGCAATTGGCAAGTAAGTAGTCAATTTTCTATCTTATTACTTGCATGAATTGTTTTTAATACATTTACAAAATCACAATCAAACTAACACACTCATAAAACTATAGGGAGGATGCTCTCGCTTCGGAAGACACACGTGGAGAAGAATATAGAAGGAATGAATGTTCTAGTAAGGTATAAAATTTAATACTAAGGTTGAAGATTAAATATATTTAAATTACCAACAAAAGAAAAAATAGGTACTCAAGAGTCTCCTTTTAATTCAAAGAAGCTAGCTAACTAACCTAGTAAATTGGAATCGATACTCTTCTTTAATGGTAGTTTCACTTCGAAATTTATAAGCTACAACTTATGCGTGTGTTTTATGAATTCATTTTGCAGTCCTATATGTATTCTATTAATTTGTTTCTCGGCCTTAAATTGTTATGGATTTTTATAGATTTTCTTTTCTAAGATGTGACAATGCATTTCTTTTCCCAATCGAGTCTTTGCTTCCATTTCATGCAATTGATGTCCTTGCCATATATTTAACTGTTAAATTTTGTCTAATTTCACTTCCAGAGAGCTAAGAGAAGAATGATGGTTGTTGGTGGAAACATGGTGCCGTATGCAGAGTTATAAGTGTTAGTTTTTTTTTTTTTTTGTTAAGAGAGATAGTAGAACAAATCATGGATTTAGAATTTGTTATCCAATATTTTTTTAGTTTTTTCTTGTTTCACTAGAGAATGGTTATTCTTTCAAACTATGAATGTTGGTTTTCCTAGTCTTGGATGAGATGACATTTTAGTAGTTTTTTTAGTTTTTATGGCGATGATTTTATGATATTTTGCTATAAAATTAATATTGTCGCCTCCTAAGATTTTGGTGACGGGACACATGATCGTCCGCATAAATTACAAATGTGACAACCTCTCGTTCCCCCAGACACCATTTAAGTGACACCTAGTTGTCCCCAACTATAACGGTTAAAGACAATAAGTTGTCCCTATAAGTTAAATACGTGACAAATTGACGCCCATAAAGACACTTCTTAAGGGATGATTGGCCGTCCCTACCAGTGAATAGGTGACAATTAGGCGTCCCCAATAATACAGTTTAAGGGACAACTGATCGTCCCCCCAAGTGATACATGGGACAATTAGTCGTCTCCAAAGGCACATCTCAGGGAAAATAGGTCGTTCATACGAGTTACATAGGGAACAATGAGTCGTTACCAAAAGGTACATAAGTGACAACTTCTCGTCCCCTAATACAGAACTTAAGGGACAATTGTTTGTCCCTAAAAGTAATAGGTGACAACTTGTCGTCTCTAAAGATATAGTATAGGAGACCACTCTCAGTCCTTGAATAAAGCTTTTCGGGGATGAATTTTGGACTCCAATTTGACACCTATAGGAACGACATGTCGACCCTATAAAAAGAAAAGGGGACAACAAATTATCCCCATATTGTCCCAACGCAATTATGAAATCGATTATGTGGGACAACAGGTTGTCCCTAGAAATGATGTTTAGGGGACGACTTATTGTCGCTAAAGTTATAGCTATGGGGACGACATGCTGTCGCTACAGTTATAGCTATGGGGACGACATTTTGTCTTTCATGGACAAGAAACGAGACGACGACTTGCGCGTATCGGGGACGATTGTCGTCCCTAGTAATGGGGACGACCTAGATTTTTGTCGTCCCCAAAAAAATAGAGGACAAGGGTATAGGGAACCACTCTTTGGGGATCACTTAGTTATCCCCAAAAACTATAGAGACGATTTTTCCTATTTCCAGGGACGACTTTTGTCGTCCCCAAACCTCCTCTTTTTTGTAGTAATTACTTGTTAAAATAATATCAAATTTTAACAATCTGATGTGGCAGGCGACGTGGTGCATATGTGGTCGCCACGTATGTGCCATGCAACCAACAGTCAACATTTTGGTCAACCATTATCTATAACGGTCAACAAAATCATTGGGACGTAAATGACACCAACTATTATAGGTTGGGACAAAAATGAAATATTGAAAAGAATATGATACAAAATTATTGATATTGTTTTTACTATATATAATCATCTAAACCCAATTTTATCTACTCAAATGAATTGACTCAAATATTACCAGCTCAAAGCTAACACAAACTCCAAGATATTAAAAATACATATGAGTTCATTTGGATTTGGTGAAATTAGACAATGAATGCACTTATTGTCACGTCTATTTCTTCCAAATAATTGATGGCATGTGGTCGGGTTCTTCTTTTAAACCTTTAGCAATTAGCATCTAACTTTTAGGTTATACCTATGCAATATGCACATGGTTTATCAGCTTAGAGTGACATCTCACATGCAAAGCATGGTGCGGGAAATGCTTTCCCCGTAGCCGGCCAAGGCCAACCCCTTCTTTTTCACTTTTCAGTACTGGCCGGTTTCTTCATCTTTTCCTTCATATTCTCTCATTTCGCGGAACCAAATCGACTTTTGAATTTTGATGCACGTGCCCTGTAATTCTGCGGTAGTTGCCATGCCATGCATGCAAGCACTTTAATTATCGAGCTTTCGCGGAAAAGAACTTTCCAGCATCTGCAATCCACTAATTACCCGAAAAGGCCACTTGAATTGAGAAAAAAAAGCAGCTGCGTTTTGTTCCTTTCTAGCCATGCTGATCTCTAAGATCAAACCTTTGCACACCAGTGCATGCATATATGCTGTTGCATGCCTCGAACTTGATGCTCTTTTAATCAGTTTATTATTTATTTAATTGCTAGCTAGCCGGTCGCTATATATATATAGCTGAATGCTGATAGGTTCTGATCAGTTGAATCATCTGATAATAACAAGAATTTTTACAGTTAGTGAGAAGGGTCGATGAGGACGAGGAGTAAGAAAGCTTCCGCTTTCTTGAAGCACACGATATCGCTGCTGGCCTCGGCGCTGCTGAAGGCGAAATCCGCGGCTGTTGGCGACAAGACAAGGGCAGTACTGAAAGCTCGGATGGCCATGACGTCTTTGGTGATGGAGAGGAAGAGAAAGGTGATGCAGTTGCAGCTGGCTTCCGTCTGCGACAAGATCAACACAGTTTTCGGTGGGAGCAGCCGCCACGATGATCATCATGAAGATCATCTGGCGATGGTTGTGTACGATCCTAATCGAAAAGGCAGGGCAGATGCAAGCTGCTGCAGCTGCTGCTGCACAACCTGCTGCAACGACGATGGACAGGCAGTGCTGGATATTGCACATTGCCGCAGCCAAGAGGCTGCCCAGCCTAGCCTTGTTAAGGTTGGCGGCAGTGAGTGCAATATGATAAGTAATGAAGGCGAACAATGTTGTCCGTACTATTCTGTCGATGATCAAGATGATCATGATCTGGTCATAATCAAGGGCAATAAGGAGGGAGATGATGATTATGGTCATCATGTTCATGATGACGATGAGAATATTGATGACGTGGCGGACATGTTCATCGGGAAATTCCATAAGCAGATGCGTCTGCAGAAGCTGGAGTCCTTCAAAAGGTATCAAGAGATGCTCCAGCGAAGTCTATAAGGGTCTGCATCTGACTTTTCAGACGTTAATTAATTAATATATATCTTTTTTGACAATACATGTATGTCCGATAATATTCTCTATAAATTTCTTTGATGCGATATATATGACGTTTTGATATTATCTGTATCAGTGTATCTTTTGGCTTATCGATCTTCGGTTAAGTATTCTAAGCGTGTCTTTCAGTTTTATTTAGAGGTGTATTTTTATTTCGGTGCAGCAACCTGCACTTTTGTTGGTGTTGTCAATTTGGGACGCCTACGTCTCTTGTCACAATGACCATTGTCTTTATTAAGCTTATCTGTAACCATTGTCAAATCTCATATCATCAAAGCAAGTGAAATATCATAATTTGTAAGTATCGAGTTTAACTGACAAGGCACTTTTTGAAGTCAAAAGAAAAAGTTTTTGTAAGAACTTCGAAGATAAAACGTGCTCACTATGGAATACTGCAAGGATTAGCGATCTCGCGAGAAGTCACTTTGATATGCACCCCAAGGTAAAAAAAATCAGTAAGGGTCTAGGTCTAAAACGGACAACCCTCAACGAGGATTTTAAGTCTCCGGGAGAGTGTATGTAACACTTTAGGCAAATCAATTTGACAAAGCACGAAAGAGATCCATGATTAGTAAGAAACTGACGCATTTTGCAATGAAATGAAAGAGTTCTTGTAAGAACTCCGAGGTTAAAATGTGCTCATTGTGGACCACTACAAGGATGGTGGCCTCGCGGAAAATCACTTTGATATGCACTCGTAGGCACAAAACCGTAATGGCCTAGACTCAAAATAGACAATATCTTTGTCGGAAAAATGTTAGGAATGTCACATAATCCCTCCATTGCATACCTCTCTCTCTTTCTCTCTCTCTTCTAATCGCGTTTGATTTTCCTCATTCACTCACTCTTTACTAACCTAAATTGTGTTCGATTAAAAAATCTCTAATGAAACAGTTCAATTGCCCGATGCAATTTATGATCGTTGATTGGTCGTTATTTCTCTATGTCGGTATCGTCCTCCATCTTCGCTCGCCATTCCATCCATCTTGTTGCGAGTGCATTTTCCGACAAGGTCGCCTCTGCATATTTCATCAAAAGCCAAATTCATCGTGATTTTCCACTCTGACGTCCTAACACATGCAGTTTTCAAGTATGCGTTCTGGCCAAGTTCGAGATCGAGTTGGCATTCTCCTAATTTTGGTTTGCATTGTTGATATTTCTAACATTCAATTTTTCTATTATTTTTTGACAAACTAGTTGTACTACTGAAGAAGTGATCAAAGTAGTACATGCTCAAAGTAAAGACCGAACCAAATTACATACGGCAAAAAAAAGGCCACCCCAGCCAACCAAGAGCATATATAACCAAACAAAAGAGCCCAATTATACAAAGCCCAGGAAAGACAAAGGTAAATCTCTAAAACCCTAGCAAAATCTTCCACCTAACTTTAGAAACTGGCGTGGCCACTAGAGACTCTCATGCCCACCCATCAGCTTGAACAGTAGCTTAATGATGAATCCATCCAGAGCCGGACCAAGAAGCACAAGTCGACGTCGTAAGATGCCAGAGTACTATGTCCCTAGAATGAAGAAGAAAGAGAAGAAGTTAGATCAGGCAAGAAGAACTAGAATCCCACCCCATCTCCACTTGATCATTGCAAGAACATTCGATCTTCCACCAAATTCCACCAAGCAACAGACGGCTGCCACATGAGCTAGATGAAGGAGTATTCATCTTCAAAAGCCACAAACTTTGTCTGAGTCGATTCACTGAGGAGGGTTGTTGCATCTCCAAATCATTGCATAAAATGGATGAAGCAAGGAGGTAGGCTAAAAGGAAAAGGAAGGAGAAGGTAAGATGAATTAAAAAAAAATATCCACCCCCATTTGACACCCAAAAATCAAATAGAATCCATAAATGAGAAGTAAGAACAGAAACAGGGACCACGACCCCCAATGGAGCGATTGAAGTTGGAAAATAATAATCACCCATGGAGAGATTGGGGAAAACATAAGGCCCCGTTTAGTATAGTTGCTTGTTTTTGTTTTCTGTTGTGTTATTAAAAATTGTGGAAACCAATGGAAAAAAAACATGTTTAGTTAGGTTTTTAATTTTTGTTGTGAAACAAATTCACACAATCAAGTCCAAATAAGAGAAACAACAATTTATTACTTTGGATGTGATTTGTTAACATGTTGCACACGGGTTTCTCCCTTGTTGGAGCGTTGATTTCATTAAATCTGTCCCCAGCCAACCCCGTTCGAAACCCATCTCAGTCTTTTTTAATTTTTTCACCCACAAACCTTACTCTGCCTCCCGCCGCACACAACTATCTTCTTCCTCCTCTCCGCACCAGCTCTAGGAACAACCTTCTTCTCGTCGCCGTTCGCGTCCAGGTTGTCGCTCGCACGCCGCTGCCTCAAGTTCCGCCGTCTTTCTCGTCGCCTCCTCACGCCCAGGTCATCGCACTAGCACAGCCTCGCGTCTCGCAACTTTGTCTCACCATTCCGTCGTCGTCCAGCTCGTCGCCGCTTGTGTCCAGGTCGTCCCTCTCGCTTCTACGCCGACCAGTTATTGTTTCAATTTTTCCATGAGTTTGATAATTAATTGCATAATTTGTTTAGATTATTAAATTCTTAGTTAAGCACCTGTCCAATAATGGTTGAATCCTTCATCTACAGAAAGTTTTAAGTAGCTTCGGTATTTTTATGACAATCACTCTCCTTCATGAAGGTTTTGTGTGAGTATCCTGAGATGAAATTGACCAGTGGGGAGCTTAAAGCTTCATTGGGAAAAACCTACTCTGAACTAGTCAAAGGTTGGATGATGGTATGCTTCTGCACCCCGTTTCCTTTGCTTGCCTTTGTTGTTTGGACTTAGGCTGGGCGAGGCCATGGTAACCATGGATGTCCTTGTAAAGATGACAATGAAAACGTTAATGGAACCATGATAACTCCATCATGTGATATCTGTGAATCTGTCATGAGTAATGAAATAGTTGGATCGATTGATCCTAACCAACCTATGATGTTTGTGAATCTGCTATGAGTAATCTTTGATGTTTGTGAATCGCCGATCAGCAACTGCATATATGACGCAGGGATACTGAAATTACTGCAAGATCGATGTTTGTTTTGGAATGAAAGTGCAGCAAAACTGCACACTTGTCATGCAGGATTATAATCTCGAGCTTCCAGAATTTTCGACATTCAGAGAAAACTTGCGCAGCTGATGTTCAAGAAACTCAAACATGACCATTATTGTTTTGTCCTGGTGCCATTACTTATTGATCTGTTGATATTCGGATTAGTGAAAGGAAAGGAGAAGGTCATTACCCTACTTATTGATCTTTTGAGTTTTTTCTGTTGTTACAAAGATACATGAATTGGATGGATAACTATATCAAACAGCTTTATGCATTGTGAGTTGTAGGAGGCAGAAGTAACTAAACGTGTTTTTGTTTCTGCTTGTCAGTTTCTATCATTTCTCAAATTTACTATCTAAACAGGTTTGTGTTGTGTGTTTTTTTCCTGTTGTGGTTGTACATTTGTTTGCACAACGTCAGTGCAACCACAACAACAACAAAATAATACTAAACGGGGCCTAAGGAAATGAAAATGAAATTAAATAAAGTAATAAAAAGAAAAAAGATGGGTTGCCGACGTTGACTAGGAGGTGAACGGACAACCCCCACTTAAAAGTAATAGGAGAGCTAGAGAGAGGCGAGAGCTATATTCAAAGTAGAGAGGGAAGGGGTAGCTAAAATTGTTGCATACGATAATTTTCTAGTATTCCTTGTGTTGTGTTTCCGGTAAGCTTTAGGAGATTCGTGTTTTGCTTTATTTAGTGTATGTGATATGCGTTAGCGGCTTCTAGTGTGCTTTACGAAATTTGTAGTCTGCGTTTTGTTTTGTGTTTCTCGTATGCATTATGGTATTTCTCAAATTATCCTTAAAAATTATTTTTTAATTGAGCCATTAAAAATTCATTAGGTGCCTACAATATATTTAAGCAAGTTCTTAAAAATTCAGAGTTAATGATACTTGCGCCCCACCTCGTCTCATTCTTGGCCTACTCTATCTCCATTTATTATAATCTACAAGTATATTAATAGCTGGATATTGTAACTTTCACCCTCGTTCAAATTTTCCTACAACGAGAGTGAAAGTAGGAAGGGTATTTTTGTCTTCGCAATGATCTATTTGTTTTTCATTTATTCATAAAAAAGGAAACTCATACTAAGATTCGAACCATGGTCATTTTTAACAATGACAATAATCTTAAACAATCAGACTACATAAATTAGTTGTATCATTTTAAATAAAAAAAATAAAAAATCATAGAACTGTTCAACGGTTAGCTAAGGTCACTAAATCTTCGCTCAGTACTTATTGGTGTTTTGATACTTCGATTTTCATATTTAATTTTTTAATTATACTTTGATACTTAATTTAAATTTCTATTTATCTTACAAATAGAGTATAACTTTAAAATCATAGATCAAATATCATTGATTCAATATTACATATTGAATTGCAATATCGAATTTGTAGAAGTGATGTTGAACTCATACATTAGTATTAGTTTATAGAACTACTATGGTCTATGAGGCAATCATATTCATATTTTTCTGCAAACTATATGGGGACGGGTTTGAATGTTTTAGCTCGGCTAACTGTTAAGTTTTAAACATCTTCCTAATTCGACATGCATAATTGGATCCAAAAATCATTAGACGAGGCTGAGTTTAATAGGTTGGTTTGTTTCATTTTTTTTTATGTATTAAAATGAATTTGTACAACAAGGACATGTCTACATATACACTCTAAACAATATATACTACTGTCATGATAAAATTGTCGTCTCATTTCAAATTTCCTACAACGAGAGCAAAAGTATGAATGGCATATTTGTCATGGCCATTAATCTTTATTTTGTATAGAAAATAGACAAGTATTAAGATTTGAACTAATGTATCTTCAAACACAGACCATAGTCAGAACCATGATTGTCAATTCGAGTTTGACTCTGCTGGTCGAACAAATTCTGCCTAAACCTGAGTATCTCAGCGGGTGCCGAAGGCGTAGTTGGTTGTCTACTTGGTCTCGGTCAAACCATAAAAACTCAATTAAATTGAGAAATTCGACCAATTTAACCAACTGATTCGAGCACCGGGACACTTCAAAAAACGATGTTGTTTTCAACAATTTGTATACGCAACTACATTGTCATATCATTCTTTTACTTATCACAGAACTCTACAACATGGAACATCACAGACCATGTTCGACTATCTCGTCGTATCTTCTTCTTTCTTTAGATTCGAGAGCCTACAATACGAGACCCAGCCATCTCAAAGCCATCATAATCCCGCAATAGCAAATTTCATTCTTCTCTAGTTGCACAGTCATAGAGTCAGACGACCTCATCTCCTGCAAATAAGAAGCAAACATTATTAGAGGAACATGCAATTGAGTTGAAACTTTGTGTGACTAACAGAGATCAAATTCCCCATTTTAATTATTGTTTAATGCTTAATTAAATTCCTATATATCTTATAAATGGAGGATAACTTTAAAATCACGGCCCAAATTCAAATTTCATTGGTTCGAATATTTCACATCGAATTGCAGTATTGAAAATGTAGAAGTCATGTATAATTCTTAAATTAGCATTCATTTTTAGACCTACTATGAAACAATCTTCTTCATATCTTTGTGTAAACTATATGGGGCTGGTTCTTTGAACATTTAGATCGACTAACCGTCAAATTTGAAACCTCTTCTTATTCTTACATGATTGGATCCATCAATCATTAAGAGTTTAATTTGGTTAATTTCACATTTTGTTAATGTACTAATGAATTTGTAGGAAAGGACATGTCTTTATATACACACTACACAATCTGTAATACTGAAATGAGAAAATTGTTGTCTTATTTCAAATTTCCTATAACGAGAGCGAATGTAGGGATGATATTTTTGCTTCACAATTATTTTATAGAAACTACAAACTTCCAAACTAAAAATTAGAGCATCGAAAATCAAAGTTCACAAATTTTATGTCATATATCACTTATTTGAGATATTTTTCTCTCTGTATACAAAGTAAAATGAAACAAGCTATAGCCAAATCAACAACTTTGGCTTGAAGACGATGACCTGCTTCTTCGTGAGAGAATGGAATACATGTGGTGTCGTTAGAGATCTGAAGAGCAAAGACGAAAAGGTTGCATGTGGCACAAGATATCGAAAGTTGTTAAAATTTTGGATGAGCGGTAAAAAAACTTCCTACTTCTGAAAATTCACCACGAGTTCGTTGATGCGGACTGCGAGGTAGATCATCAATTCGGCACATCTAAAAGAGATCTCTAGCGTCGGCTTAGGAACAATGAATCGAAGGGGAAGAAGAAGATATAGTGGTCGAATGTAGAATACGAGTTTAAATCTATAGATTGTCAACAATCTAAAGATTCTAACTCTTTGGATTGTTGAAAATAGATTTTAAAATGTTTATTGTTTGGTAACAATGATTGTAAACATTCAATGAAAATAAAATTTTAAGTTTATATTAAATATCATGTTTATCCTTAATAAAAATTAGAGTTGTTCGAGAAATATTAAAAACTTTGTTGATAAATATATTTAATATGATAAATAAAAGAAAGAAAGAAAGAGAAAAAATGGGAGAAAAAAATCACGAATCAAGATATAGAATCTCTCTTATTATGAGAGATTTGATATCCGTAGATTTTAGAGATTTAAAATCTCTAAAGCTAAAATCCACAATACAAAAAGCAACAACAAAAACATAACTTTCTACAAAATCTATGGATTCAATGAATCCACACCCTAAATCTTGTTCTCCAAACGACCCCATAGACTCTTTTATTAACAACTAATTGAGTGCATGAGGTGGATAAACGATGCATTCATTTCTCTTTTTCTTTTAAATAAAATAAAACTAGAAACAATATCTTAAATTTTGATGGGGTTCTATTCAACTTTTGAAGTTTGCTCTTTTTGGGCCTAATCATACTATTTAAAGCTATTATCCTACTAAAATGATTTTATTTTTTCGCTGCATTGTTGTAATACTTTGACCAAAACATGTTAGTAGGTTAAATGATATATTAATAAAAATAATATAATATCAACGCTCTTTAGGCGTACTCAAATTATAATTCTCGTATATTATACGCTCTTATGCTCCCATTCTAGCTCCCACTACGCGAATTAGTAAGATAAATCCGTCGAGTCAATTCTGTAGACAAAGAGACTACTGGTAGAACTAGCCTCATATTGCCTTCCCTCGCAAACACCCCCACGCTCAATTCCCTCTTTAGTTGGCACTGAGCAAGAGGAAGGGAACGAAGGAGGAAGGAGGATTTAGGTTAGTTTGTTTTTTTATTTATGTTTCCAGGCGACGAACTGGTTGATCGTCCGGCGATTCCAACGGCGGGTACGAAACATGTCCGGATCTGTAAAGTCCTTTGAATAATAGGAACTAGTGATGAGAGTCGATTGGAATTGGAGGCAAGGAGGAGGAAGAAGAAACTGTCGTCGCCTATATTCATTTTTGGATAATTACAGCGGCGATTGTCCCGAGCTCCCTGACGACGGGTTTCCAACCTGCGGCTGTGCGATGTGGAACGGGAAAAACAAAACTTGAAAGGATATTTGAGTTGTTTTAGTAAAAAATAGGGTGGCGCGTTATATATTTTAGGACGAGGAATAGTAATGCAAAAAAAAATTAGAAAAACAATGCCGGCCAAGGGGCCGGGCAGCAGCTAGTCCCAATATTTTTAAGTTTAGTGACATTCACCCTTGAAACATATATAATACTCTTAAAAGAACCAAAAAGACAAAAAACCCTAGAGAGTACAGAGTTGCGCATCTTCTTTCTTGGGCTGAAGCCCCGCTGTTGAGGGTGACCGGAAGCCCAGTCCATTACCAAAATTGGCGCGAAGACTTCCCGCCAACAGCCCCCATTGGCGGTATTGGTAGGGTCTCCGGGGTTCGGGACTTGGGAGTTGGGACACACCACATAGACTGGACTGCGAGATTGTAATTTTTCTTGCTTCCCCGAGCAAACCCTTGGAAGAGTCTCAGTCTCCGAAGCCGGACAGAGTGCAGGTGAAAGTTGGAAAATGGCGTCGCCGACTCCCAATTCTGAAAATCAACCTTCTACGCCGGATTCTCCGACATCGGCAGGCTTCAACACAGATCAACTCCCTCACCATACCAGCCATAACAACACCGACGACGACGACGAGGCCTCCGTCGATCCCCAAATCATTCCAGATGAGCCCGAAGAGCTTGCAGAGGACGAGGAAGAGGAGGAAGGAGAGGACCTCTACCACGACGATTTCTTGGAGTCCGTATTCTTGCATTTCTGTTCTCCAGTTCATTTCTCTCTTTTTCTTCCTCATCTCACTCTTCTTAAATCTTAGACTGACCTTTTTCCTGCTTCTCTGATTTCTGTTCACGTGTTGGATTTCAGTGACTACCGGAGAATGGAAGAGAACGACCAGTACGAGTCAGTTGGGCTGGATGACTCCTTGGAGGACGAAAGGGATATGGATCAGATCGTGCAGGACCGCAGGGCTGCTGAACTAGAGCTTGAGGCTCGTGAAGGCCGCATGACTAACCGAAAGCTTCCTCAGCTCCTCCATGACCTTGGTACGTCACCTATACATGGATTGCTTTTTGAAACTACAAACCCTAGAATGATCCAATTTCACTATTTTCCTGAATACTTGTTCCCTCAAAGTTTAGCCTTACTATTTACTCCTAATTACAAATATCTGGATTGACGAGAATCAAGATTTAGTTTCTCAGTACGACCTCTTCAGTATCTTGCCGATGCTAAGCCTACACGCATTTTCTCCTTCAGCTCATGTTATCGGTTAATTGAATTCGTCCTGACACATTTTTTTTTTTGTTGGAACAGACGATGACAACTACAGGCCTTCGAAGAGGTCTCGAGCTTATTTCAGGCCTCCTACCGATCCTCAAAGTTATGATGATACTGATGGTATGCAAAGCTCTCCAGGAAGGTCCCAGCGTGGACATTCAAGAGACGATGTGCCCATGACTGATCAAACTGATGATTATCCTTACGAGGTATCAATTTATATAATTGCATTAAATTCCTAGCCCTTAATCTTGTACCATGAGTTTGGCCGAAGAAGTTCATTACTGGTACAATTAGTTCTAGACCCTCAAATGGATGTCTGTGTAGGATGAAGATGGCGATGAAGGTGAGTTTGAGATGTACCGCGTCCAAGGAACTTTGAGGGAGTGGGTTACCAGAGATGAGGTTCGACGTTTCATAGCCAGGAAGTTCAAGGAGTTCTTGCTCACCTACGTGAATCCGAAGAGTGGACAAGGAGATTTTGAGTATGTGCGGCTGATAAATGAGATGGCGTTAGGTAAAAAGTCTACTCGTGCTCAATTGTGCAAGCTGTTACCTAATGGTGTGCCCCAAGTAAATGTAACTATTTTATATATTTGCAGCAAATAAGTGTAGCTTGGAGATCGATTACAAGCAGTTCATCTACGTTCACCCAAATATTGCCATCTGGCTTGCTGATGCTCCTCAATCAGTCCTGGAGGTCATGGAAGAGGTTGCCAAAAGTGTTGTCTTTGACTTGCATCCAAAGTACAAAAATATCCATCAGAAAATCTATGTCCGTGTTACCAACTTGCCAGTATATGATCAGATCCGGAACATAAGGTATTGCTCACGGTTTGTTGTAGATGAACATGCCTTTGCACTAACCTGATCTAACTTCAGTGTTTCTTCTTTTCAGGCAGATACATTTAAATACCATGATTCGCATTGGGGGAGTTGTGACTAGGCGTTCAGGAGTTTTCCCTCAGTTGCAACAAGTCAAGTATGATTGCAACAAATGTGGGGCAATATTGGGACCTTTCTTTCAGAACTCGTATTCAGAAGTCAAAGTTGGTTCTTGTCCTGAATGCCAATCAAAAGGGCCATTTACCGTCAATATTGAACAGGTAAAGTATTTCTTCTGCGTAAATCTGTAACAAATGTTAATCTGAAAAGGTGAAGATTGTAAAGAAGGGCTTTGCCATGAAATATGTTACGTGTTGGTAAAATGTATCTTTGCATTCCCTTGGCACAGACGATTTATAGGAATTACCAGAAACTCACACTTCAAGAAAGCCCAGGAATTGTGCCAGCGGGCCGGCTTCCTAGACACAAGGAAGTGATACTGCTGAATGATTTGATTGATTGCGCCCGCCCTGGTGAAGAGATTGTATGATCTCTTTCTTGGACTCTTGTTTGAACTTTCACTGATTTTCAAAATGCTAGTTTTTCAGTGGGTTCTTGTGCATTCCAGGAAGTGACCGGTGTATACACGAACAACTTTGACCTATCTTTGAATACAAAGAATGGATTTCCCGTCTTTGCCACAGTAATTGAGGCCAATTACGTTACAAAGAAGCAGGATCTCTTTTCTTCGTACAAACTTACCCAGGAGGACAAAGAAGAAATTGAGACGTTGGCTAAAGACCCACGGATAGGAGAAAGGGTGTGAAAAGTTTCCTTCATTACCATGACGAATTGTGTATATATCCATTTATGTTCCCTACCATGACCATGAAGTAATATGCATATATCCATTTCAGATTGTCAAGTCCATTGCTCCATCTATCTATGGCCATGAGGATGTCAAAGCTGCAATTGCGCTTGCAATGTTCGGAGGGCAGGAGAAAAATGTTGAAGGGAAACATCGACTACGTGGTGACATCAATGTACTTTTGCTGGGTGATCCTGGCACTGCAAAGTCTCAGTTTCTGAAGTAAGTAGAAATAAAACCAATTCTCTTGAACACTTTTGTCCCTGATTAGTATGGATGTCACTTTATGGTTTTCCTCTCTCCATAAAGGTACGCGGAGAAGACGGGGCAGAGGGCTGTCTATACTACCGGTAAAGGAGCTTCTGCAGTAGGTCTTACAGCAGCAGTCCACAAAGATCCAGTGACAAGAGAGTGGACACTTGAAGGAGGTGCCCTTGTTTTAGCTGATAAAGGTATCTGCCTCATTGATGAATTTGACAAGATGAATGACCAGGACAGGTAAGGGAACTTGCTCCAAATCTGTGGTGATGGATCATCTCAGCTATGAGTGTTAATTAAACTAACGCTATGTGATCAGGGTGAGCATACATGAGGCAATGGAGCAACAGAGTATTAGCATTTCAAAAGCTGGGATTGTTACATCTCTTCAAGCTCGATGTTCTGTTATTGCTGCTGCAAATCCTATTGGAGGAAGGTGTGTGTGGGGATTCGTATGATAAGCCAATAAATAAGCTAATTTGAAAGAGGAAGCTGTCGCAGATTTCCTTTCTGTTTCCTCATTCTGTTATTCCAGAATTTTCCACCCCACATTTCCTTGCCTCATATGTGCCTCTGCTTGACTGTTTAGTTGCTGTGAATGATAAATGTTCTGAAAGTCTATTCAACTTGACTCTGTTCCCAGGTATGATTCATCGAAGACATTTGGGCAAAATGTTGAGTTGACAGATCCAATTGTTTCTCGTTTTGACATCCTATGTGTCGTCAAGGTAATACTTTTCGTGTGGGTTGATATTTCTTAGCTTGCATCTCTACTAATTCAGGGTGACTGAGAAACAAGTTCAACAATGATTGCAGGATATTGTGGATCCTGTAGCAGATGAGATGCTTGCAAAATTTGTTGTAGATAGTCATTTCAAGTCGCAACCTAAGGGTGCTGCTATGGATGATCGGTCCATGAACGAGTCCCAAGAAGACAACCAAGCCACTTCATCCCCCACTGATCCAGAGGTCTGTCCAATTCTAGATCTCGATGGTTTTTTCTGTCTGGTGGAGTTTTCACGTTTCCGTCCATCTACTTTCACTTTATCTAATCTTTTAATTGTTCTTTCTCTTAGATTCTTCCTCAAGATTTACTGAAGAAATACATATCCTATGCAAAGCTTAACATCTTCCCTAGGCTGCACGACTCAGATATGGAAAAGCTAACCCAAGTGTATGCTGAACTCAGAAAGGAATCTTCGGTGAGGAGCTTGGTGCTTGTGCTTCTATATTATTTCAATGACGTTTAATACGGCAATTGACAATATGTTGGTATTTTATTGTTGGAATGTCAGCACGGGCAAGGAGTCCCCATAGCAGTAAGGCACATTGAATCTATGATAAGGATGTCTGAGGCGCATGCTAGAATGCATCTCAGACAGTATGTGACAGAAGAAGATGTGGATATGGCCATAAGAGTTCTTTTGAATTCATTCATATCAACGCAAAAGTACGGGGTGCAGAGGGCTTTGCAGAAGGTAAACGATCAAGATTGTTGCAGAGTCTTTTGTCATATCCATCTCCTTTTGTTTTGGGGCCTCAATCCTTCTGTCATTGATGGAATTCGTATTCCAGAGCTTCAGGAAGTACATCACATACAAGATGGACTACAACAGAATGCTTCTCAATCTTCTGAGGGAGCTCGTGAGCAAAGCCCTGCGCTTTGAAGAGATCGTGTCTGGTTCAACCTCAAGGCTTAGCCACATCGATGTGAAGAGACAGGATCTCCAAAGCATGGTAAGGATTAAAAGGAAAGCGCTCAATAGAGTGCTTCTGTCCAGTTTTCTATGAACGTGTCTTGTTTTTTGTGGTGAATTGAAGTTTGAATGAGTCGAATCTCTGTAAGGTGGAGATTGACGTGATTCACATTGTGCAGGCCGAAGAAAGGGGGATTACAGATTTGGAACCTTTCTTTTCCAGCAATGACTTTTCAGCTGCCAATTTTGAGCTGGTGGAAGAGCGTCACTTGATTAGGCATCGCCTTCCAAGGCAGTCACAGTAGTTGTTGGGTGCAGGTTTGGGGCGAGTAGTATTGGTAGCAGGCAGCAGCAGTTCTAAGTCCATGTGATGTACCCGCGGTGGGCTCCTCTCGCTCTCGCTGCATATCGAGAGCTATATTCATTTGTGATTTGTTGTGACACTTCTGTCAGACGTGTGCTTATATTTTTCAGCTAGTTATGTTGAATCCCACCTTGCTGAATCAACTTAACGTATCTAATTACACAGTTCTTTCTCTATTAATATAGTTGACTTCACTTTTTTTCTTCTTCCGTTAAATGAGTCAATTATCAATGTGGTATTTGTAGAGTCCAATAACTCATTAATTTAGAGATCGTTTGGATGAGTTAATTCACAATGTGGGTTTGTAAAATCAAATAACTCATTTTTTCATGTAATATTTGTGGTTATTTGGTTTGGATGAAACAAGACAATGAGTTATTTCATAACAGTATTTGGTGACATATATATGTGTAAATGCCATAATGTCCTTAATGATTACCATCTTCAGACTTCTAATATAATGCCCTCAACTTGAGGCCTGCTGCAAAAACACACCAGCGGTAACAAGCCATACCACAGCAAGGAATTTAATTATAGAATTGCATCAGAGTAGACATTTTATTTTATAGTCTTGATATCTTGATAGTGTTGGATCAAAGTATAAACTCAGTTTTTAGTTATTTCAAAATAACTCGACCCAAAATAACTAATTTCATCAATTTGAAGTCTATTTTGGCCCAAATAACTCGCTTCGAAGTCTATTTTAGACCAAATAACTTATTGCGAGTTATTTGGGCCAAAATAACTCATACAAATAACCTATCCAATTAACTCATACCAATAATTGTTCATTTGGTATTTTAGTATTATTCTAGTGGTAACTGGATTAAAGTATATTGTTAGGTAGAATCATATATATGTGGTCTTTGACAAAAACAAAGGGTTAAAATGAGTTATTTCGAAATAACTCGATTTTAAGTTACTTGTAAATAACTTATTTAAGTAAAATGCTGTCAAATTAGTTATTTTGGTCACAATAACTTATTGTAAGTTAGTTGAACACAAATAGCTTACTCGAAGGGACAGGTTACGGCGATTGCTATAAAATAGTAATCACCGCGATTACTAAGGGCAAATTGGGTATGACAAAAAAATTATTAATTATCTTTTTTAACAAATTACATTTTAGGAAGTTACAAAAATATATTAATTACAATTCTCTCTCTCTTTCTCTCACTTCCACAATCTCCAGCCAGATCTCTCTTCCTCTTTTTTCAATCTTTTCCTTGTTTTCGTTCAGATACCGCTACAACAATAAAACAATACCAATACATTAAAAGAACACTACCAATGCATAAAACACCAATACCATTCGTGAAATAAAAACACTACCATTTCACAAAACACGAATACTATTGCAGATTTATCAATATCAATACATGCAAATCAATACCATTACATAATAATCAATACCAATGCAAAAAAAAATATCAATGTGAAAAACACTACCACTACAAAAAAAAACTATCATTTCACTGAAAAGCAATACACTTACATGATAATCAATACCAATGCGGAAAAAACAATACCAAAGCGAAAAAACACTATCATTACGAAAAAATCACTACCAATGCGAAAAAACAATACCAATGCGAAAAAACACTACCACTACGAAAAAATCACTGGCAATACGAAAAAATCACTACCAATGTGAAAAAATCAGATCTAGAGTTTTTATTCATCCTACCTTTTCAATACCAATGCAAAAAAACACTACCATTCCGGGAAAAAAATACCACCAATGCGAGAAAGTACATACCAATAAAAAATCAATTGTTATGTTATTGCACTCGAATTCCAAAAAAAAACTTCATCCCATTCATCATTTTTGCTGAAGAAGAACAGAAGGAGAGAGAGAAGGGGGGGGGGGGGGGGAAGAGGATTGGATTTTAGGTATTATTAGTGGGGAGGTTCTATTTGCGGAGGAAGAACAGATGGAAGAGAGAGAGGGGATCGGGAAGGAGGGGGAGGGACGGCCGCCGAAGGGAGGTGGTCGGAGGGGAGAGGGATGGTGGGCGGGCAGCCCGCAGTCGACAGTCGTCTCAAGTAGGGTTTGGTTGGAGGAAGGGGAGTGTAGAAGTAGGGTTTGGGTAGAATATATAAAATAATCCGGTGTGGACTCTTTTTTGTTTCCAAAATTACCCTGACGTAATCTTAACCATGAGATTAAAAAAATGAAAAAAATAAAAATTGACGGCATATAATGATGTAGCCACAATGGCTACTAGAATTTTAGTTACCACCCTAACGCATTTCCTTACTCGAATACTTCATCCAAACGACCTCTTAATTTTATCTGAAGAGACCTCTTCTTTCTTAGTTCTCAATATCAAGACAAATTTATAGACTTATAAATATATTTTTTATGAAATAATTGATGCACACAATTGCTTCGATAAGATTATTACTGGTGGATCCATGAATTTTACTTGAGAGGTAAATTGCAGGGGGTGTAGACTGGTGGGAGTGTAAATGGAAAGGTAAATTGCTGTTTGGATGAAAAAGTATAGGGTGCAAATAGAGTGAAAAGTAAATAAATTATATCATTATATAATAGACTTATTAAATAATAAAAGATGATCGCAAAATATTCACACACATAAATAAATATGAAATAAAAATAAATAATTTTAATAAAAATAATTTAATAAAATAATATTAAAATATTAATGCTCAAGTAGTAATTAATTATAAAAATTATAAATAATATTGTTGGGCCCATAAAATTCATAATTGGTTGAACAAGCTTGAATAAGTATGCTCGAAGCACAATCCATGGCCAAGACATATAGATAGCTCATGTCTCCCACTCGGGCGTTGATTTGTCGAAATGATGAATAAATCGGGAGTATTATCAAATCGGGTTTAACCATAAATGGTCATCCTACATGGTTCCCGTGGCCAGTTTATCTTTAAATTGGATATGGTCGAACTTAGTCAAACACATTCGAACATGTAAGTTTTAACTATTTGATCAGATAATATGAACCAACCAACATATCTCAATTCGGCTAGACGAAGCTTGACCCACTCGTTGGACCGAGTCAACAGTTGGAGCCGATTGGACAAACTCTCATCGGATATCAAATAATGTCTTACGAAATCAACACAAAAATTATTAATTATTCTTATTTAATTTTTATAATAATTATTTTTACTATTGTAATACTTGTAAGTATTATTATAGTATAATGATTACATGAAATTTTTTAATCACAACAATTATAGAACATAATCATACATAAAAACACAACGAAATATACTAATATTATCTTTTATTCATTCTTCCACTCTTTCTCTCCATTTGCATTCCAAATTGGAGGTTAATGAGAATAGTGTTTTTTCCTCCAATTGCACCCCCTATTACTATTCATAATTATCCAAATAAGAATAAATACATTGAAAAATACATTTAGCCCCAAACTTGCTACCCTCCCATTTACCCATCCCAAACATAGTGAATGCTTTCACCTATTCTCACAAATTGCCCCATAATCGATTGTTGTAATTAATCACCATTATCATCATATCGTCGCCTCCACCATTAGTCTTGTTTACATCTAACTTCAGTTGTTGAGGGATAAGATATCTATTAACGAGAAACTTTGGGGTTTGCTTTAATAAACTTATGGTATGCTTTATGACTTTCTAGTATACTTCAAGGAACTTGTAGTCTAGATTTAAGAAACTTGTGATTCCATATACAAACTACAGTTTGATACTTAAACTTAATAAAATATAAGATTTATTATATAAAGTTAATTTTGTTGCATATAAGTCCTAAAAATTATGTATTACATTTTGATATCTAAAATTTAAACTTTACAAATAGGACCACATGCGTGTGCTCCCTAATTTTTTATAATGACAAGTATGTCCCTTCATTTCGAAGTGTGATTAATCCCTTAGAATAAAATAATCACGAAAACAAAATGTTCTTATCGGCTGGAATTAATGTTAGCATGTTGCTAACAAAAACAAAAGTGTTAGCACCTTAACCTCTGTCTTGATGTTATTTATTGTAATCAAGTATAACGTTTGGATGTTGACATAAAATGTTGCATTTAAATATGGATAATTTTTTAGATAAATTGTTTTAAAATAGATTATATAAATACACAATTCCACGTATATTTTGTTAAGCCTGATATATAAATCGGTTATGCCCTGGTTGGACCATACAAGTTGCTAAACCGGTAACTGTATAAACCGCTTAGACAACGTTGAGAAACACATGATCTGCGAAAGCAAATGGCCTCTTCCCAGTAAGTCCGTAGCGATACAGAATCCATAAGTTCTCCAGAAGAACCAACAATTGGCTCAGTCTATCATCTCATCACCAAGTTGGTCACTGCGTCCGCTGCGGAAGGAGAGAAGACAGTAGCCGCAGTCAATATCACTCCTAAATCACAGTAGAAGCAGAGAAATGGGAAGGCGGTGGACGGTCGGCGTTTTGATCGTCCTCCTGGGGATAGTTATCGGAAACAAGCAATTCGGCTCTCGTTTTGGCTGGAACAAAGACGCTGCATTTCACCTCTTAGCTCAATGGTCCGATCGACTGGGCATTTGGGCCATGCCTCTGTACGTTGCGGTTCACACCCTCACCCTCGCTCTCTGCTTGCCCTACGCCGTTTTCTTCGAGGCGGCTGCTTCTCTCCTGTTCGGCTTCTTCCCGGCGCTTCTCTGCGTTTTCTCTGCCAAAATCCTGGGAGCTTCCCTGTCCTTTTGGATCGGCAGGTGCGTAGGAATCAATCAACTACCCCCTTCCATTTCGAGTTCGGTTTATGTTTGCTCACTTGATATTGTAGCGAAGAACTGATCTGGTCAAAGTAGTATAGTATGCCTTTGATGGTTGCTAGGAGAAGGTATATGAAATGACTGAATGACAGCAATGGGCATTGTTGTTGATGATGATTTGCTTCATTGAAATGCTGGCCAAAGCCAAGTAATTAGGGTTTTTAGAAAGGATATATGGGAGAGAGTTAGGTTGCCTCATATCCCACGCTTACGCAATCCTGGTGGTTCTTTCACCTCTGCCCAATTCAGGGTGTTGGTTTGTGGTATACAATGTGCAGTGCTGAGAGTTTAGAACCCTACATTGTAACCTATGACTGCTGACTCCACATTGTATACCACAAATCAAAACCTGATTCAGCAGTCATACCACCGCCTTTCTCCACGTTCACACATTAGCCAGTGATTCCGCTGCAGATCTGTAATCCGCATCAACCCTGGTACTCCCTCCCTCTTTCAAAGTCAATAGCTCGAGGTGTCTATGTTGTTCTGTTGAGCGTTGACTTCCATACCCTGTGCCAATATGAATTGCTGGATGGATTGCTCTTACTAGTAACTAGATGATGTTGCCAGTCCTTAGTTATCAGAGTATAATTCTCTTGAAACGATATGTACGTTATTCAGGTCCAATACTATACTTTAGGGCACAGATACCAGTATTTCTTTTCTCTACCGGAAGTAGCTACTTGTAGTATTTGGTGATGCACTCCAAAGTCAAACTATGTAGTGTTTTCATGACTTTGTGATATGATTCCACCCATCAGTCAGGTTGTCTGTCAGTCCAATTGATTAACTAATTAATATGTCTTACGAGGGATCCATCTTTTTGTTTATGATTTCGCTCAGGCTAGTTTTTCGGAGATCAAGCTCAGCAGCTGGGTGGGTACAGAAGAATAAATACTTCCATCTCCTTTCAAGGGGAGTTGAGCGAGATGGTTGGAGATTTGTCCTTCTGGCACGCTTCTCACCTGTTCCCTCTTACATGATAAACTATGCTCTGGCTGCCACTGGAGTTGGCTTCTTGGTGGACTTTCTGCTCCCTACAGTGGTTGGCTGCCTGCCTATGATTCTGCAGAATACATCCATTGGCAGCCTTGCTGGTGCTGCTGTTGCTTCTGCGTCTGGTTCTCAGAGATCTAAGGTTTGGTCATATTTGTTTCCCTTGCTTGGAATTACATCTAGCATTATTATCTCCTTGAGGATTAGAAAGTACTCCTCTGAATTTGCAAAGGTTGCAAGTGATCCAAGTGGTATTGCTGACGTTGGCAATTCGTCTCCATCCCTACGTGGCAATCAAGGTAAAGGATCATGAGAAATCAACACCTTGAGCGAGTTAGTATTGACAGTTTTTCCTCCGGCAGTTGCTGTTCCAAGTAATGTCTTTTATTAACTATAGCAAGATATAGTAAAAAAATTTCTGTTGGAAGTCACTCATTATTTCAATCCCTGCTTTGCGGACCATATTTGGTGACTAAGAGAAATCCTTTAGTCGATTATTTATTCTCTCTCTCTCTCTCGAGCATTACTTGAGTAAGAAGTAAATAGTGTATTTGAAAGAGTTGGTATAACAAGGCAGCTGACTACCTAGTGAAGAAAGGTCATTCTTTTAGTTTTGGCATTCATGGGTTTCATTATTTAGATCTAGACTAGGTTATGTTTGACGTTATGGACAATGCCCAATCTCATAACTTAAGTATAAGTAGGCCTGTCCAATCGGTTTCGGGTTAAACCGAACCCGAACTGAAAACACAGAAGGCGGATTTCAGGCCGAGTGGAGATAAATTCTGTCTGTTAAAGTTCTTGGCTCTCCATAAGCGAGCTGATCACTTAAATTTTGCTTCCGTACCAAACAAAGTAATCCTCAAACACGCCGGATTAAGTACGTAAATCATATAATCATGATCACATGCACTCGAGATTTCCTGACAAACTTACTTCTTCCCCGACCTTCCTCTTCCTTTTTTTGATAAGGGTGATATAATATTAAGAATATCAAAAAGGAAACAAAAGATACAAGGGGAGCAGGGGAAACAAACCACCCCAGCAGAGACGGCCAAACAACAGAAAACCAGAGCCACTCCTCGACACAGACCCAAGGAAGAAAAGGCTATCAACAGCAGCTAGCCGAATGATAATGTTCGAAAACATATTGATTTTATGTGCTCAATGTGATTATTATATGATATATTTGAGATATATAATGCTTGTTTTAGATGCAATTGTCTATGGAATGGTTATCATACCATTATCACCATGGGTTAGTATGTTGATATATTTTAGGTGGACAAAGAAGAAGGCATATGAGAACAAATAGAAAATTTGATGCATAGGCAGACCTGGAGGTTCAACAGAGACTATGGACAAGGAACCGAAAACCAACCTGGGTTTGGGCCGCCAGCCCAAATTGATAGAAAGAACAGGCTTGTTGGATTTGGCGGGCAGGGAATCTGTTTCCCTGGACAAATGACAAGAGGGAATTAATTCCCTGGGACACTTTGGGACGAGAGGGAGCTGGGCCTGGGGGGAATTAGAGTGGGCCACGGAAATATTGGGGACAGAGAATTGTAGAGAGAAGGGATTAATTGGAGGGGCCATTATTTGGAATTCGGGGGGACACGGAAGCGGGAGGAAAGAATTGGGAAAGAATTTCTCTGGGGAACAGAGGCGCAGCGGAAGCAGGGAAAGCAGAGGGCGCTTGGCGATCGAGATTTTTAAGGCTGTCTGAGCTGAGTTCAACGACGAGAGAGATTAGTTGGTTGGATTTTCTGAACCAAATAAGTTGTTTATTGTTGATTTAGAATATGATGATCAAAACTTTATCGATTTATCTTATTTTCGTCATGAACTAAACCCCGATTTCTGGGGGAAACACCATAGGATGTAGCTATTTCTAAACTTGATGAATTGATTCATATTTCTTTTCTTCCAATCTCTATTGCATGAAATTACTTAATGCTTTGTGTTGAATGACCACCAATACATTGATTTGTTGTTAATTAGGTTATTAGCGACAGTGAAACCCTAATAACTAAACATATTTCGTGTGACATAGTAACTTATCGAAGCGACAGTGGATTAAATAAGGTGCTATGCGGTCTTAAATAGGATATCGTTCTTCAGGCTAAATAGTTAATTCTTTGAGTTACGACAGTAGGATTTGAATTAATTGTTTAGTACGTAGTAATTCCCGACAGGGATAGCTAGCACATTCGTGATATCCTGGCTGTAGAGAGTTGGATTAAACTGATTGGAATATGTGAATTAATTTGGATATGATAGGTAGCAAGTCCCGGTGTTTCTCCCAGAGCTTTTCCCATTGAATTTCTCCCGACAAGTTTACTTTGCTTAATTAGTTTAATTATTTTGCTATTAGTTAATAATCTCATCAACCAAACCATTTTTCACCTATAGTTTGCTCCACAGAGTTGATAAGTTATAAGGTCGTACTAGTCCCTAAGAGACGATACCCGGACTTTCCGATTTTACTACGAGATAGGAAGTGAAGCATTGCACTTTTGCCCTATCACCGAACAAGCCGAAAAGGCCCTGGGGGAAAAGAGAAATGCAAAACAAACTCTACCAGGGCGACAGGCAGAGGGTCTTAGAAACAGACGGAGAAGACAGCAGAGACACACACGAGGAAGATGGCAGGAGAGCCGCCACGGAATGATCTGCAGAAGTCAAACCCAACAAACAAAGAGGCTCACAAGAAGCCCTGGACCCAACACCATCAGTTGTCCATTCTGGGGGAACAATATGCTTTTCAACACTCTAGCCAGTTCTTGGTGACTTCTCTGTCGACTTTCGCAGCAGCAGCAAGCCATTGGGAAATAGCACAAGCAATTTTAAAAGCAACCACATAGGGAGAGTTTTCGGAATCACTGAAGACTCTCGAATTTCTTTCTAGCCACAGTTTCCAGCAAAAAGCGTGAAGGAACACCCTAGATGACCATTGCGAGGGATCCGCCGGCTTGTGGTGTTGCCAAATCATTAACCTGTCCGCCACATCACTGACCTTGCATATACTGTCTTCAATCCTCACGAACGGTCGCATTAGATTCCACGTCTCATTCGCAAAGGTGCAACTCACGAATAAGTGGTTAACACTTTCCTCCTCATCCTTGCAAAGAGCGCATCTGTTCGGCAAGTTGAAACCTCTCTTCTTCAAATTATCCAGGGTTAGAATCTTCTTGTAAAAAACCATCCACATGAACCAACCATCCACATGAAGCGAGGTGTCTTAGTCAGCGGCAGATCCAAGACACAGTAGAACACTGGGCCCGCATTTCATTAGAAAATTAGATACCGTATGAAAATTATAAATTTTTTTACAATATCAATTGTACACGTCGATCTTTTTAAATTTTAATATAGTGAATTCATCAATAATGGAGTCTACATCCATACTAATAGCATACTCTCTTTAAGATAAAATAGTTAACCAATTGGCGAGAAATTCATCGCTCATTTTATTACGTAGATAATTTTTCACCTATTTCATTTGTGAAAAGGTTCTCTCCGTAGTTGTTGAAACGAGCAATGCCAATACTAGACAAATCAATCGACTAATCAATATATATATTTTGTGTCAATCCCTATTTTCACCAGCTACTCTAGTAATTTTTCAAGTGAACAAACCTCATATTTCTTTTAATCTTTTATGTTTTTTACTTTTAGAATTTTAGGTTTCATTGCTTGTTTTTCTTTAGGCGAGAATCATTGGAGTTAGAATTTTCAGGTTAAATTTAGAGCTGCGTTACTTTTGAATATGTTCATCAGACCCATTTTCCTAATTACACACAATCTTATTATAAAATAACACTGGGCAGAATGACTACAACCGATAAACTAATAAGGGCTATACTAGCTCCGGATAGGGATGGTAATGGGTCGGGTTTGGGCGGGTTTTGTCAAACCCAAACCCAAACCCAAACCCATGGGTTTATCCATAAAAAAAACCCGGGGTAAAACCCGTTGGGTTTGAAAAACTCAAACCCAACCTAACCCGTTGGGTATCCACAGGTTCATGGGTACCCGTGGGTTTTTGTGGTAAAAAATTTACAATAACAAGTTTCTTTCAAAATAAAAGTTTAACATCAATTTTCTCATACAAATTAATCATACAAAAAAACACCAATCTAGAGCATACAAGCAAACCGCAAATGATCAATACAAATTGTTCAAAATTAAAGATAAACATCTATAAACAAAAGATTAATTGAAAGCTTCTTCCTCGTCAACTAAGTTTCTTCACTCTCCACTTCATAATATCAACTTCATTCTAAACAATTAGAAATAACAAATTATACATGTCTCCACAAACATAAAGAATATTAATTGTTTAAGGAAAATATATTATTTAGAATATTAAATATACCGGGAAAGTAATTATATGTGTGTGGGCGGGTACCCATGGGTCGGGTTTACCTAAACCCAAACCCAACCCGACCCGGTGAATAGTGTAGCGGGTTTAAACCCGAACCCGGCCCAAAACCCGTCAACACGGATTTTACCCGCGTTGACCGGGTTGGGTCGGGGTGGGTACCCGTGGGTTCGGGTTTTGTTGCCATCCCTAGCTCCGGATCCAGAGGAGGGCTTGGCCGTGGCCCGGGGTGGCCTCCCCCTGGATCCGCCACTGGTCTTAGTCTATATTGCGCATGATGAGTGGTTGGGTGGATTTGGTGGGTTTACAACTTATATTTCATATGATCACATAATTTAAATACTTTTAAACTTAAAATAAAAAATCAAACTAAATAGCATTTAATATCAAGTAAATCATTTAATTTATCATATTGGTATTGGTAATTGTCCATAAATTATAAAATATTGAACTGATCAACATGGTCTGAGCCCAATAATAACCAAACTTCAAGAAGGAACTAAGCATAAGACAAACGTTTTGGCTTGCCAAACGTCTCATTTGCCTAGAGGTTGTGAGCGTAAATAGCTTTTTAACCTATAGTTGCAAATTACAATTCCAAATTGATGGAAGGAATGAAAGTTGAATCGATGGTAGTTTTAGATGGTGTCGTTTTGGGAAGAGAACTATCTTTTTTCTACCATTCGTCTATTAGTTATGCTTAAGCGTACCTCCAATTGTCTAAGCACACCTCACAAGTCACAACACAATCCTTTGATTGAAATTGAGAGAAATTTTTGTGGTGGATTGTGGATTGTCTAAGCTACATGTTAGAGTTTCAATGGTTGAGGTTAAAAAGTTGGGTGGGTCGTGGGTCAACCACAATCCACCCGCACCCACCCAATCTTTTGTGGGTTACTTATTTCACAACCCACATCCACCCATAGAAACCACCCATATGATGATAATGAGTGGGTCAATTGTGAATGGATTTGAGTGGATTTGTGGGTTCAACGACTCAGTGTTCACCCCTAGGAAAAGCTCAACTGGAAGCCTGAGAGACATCTCGTTCAAAGGCGGAGACCTCAGTCCTGTTTGCGGTGGATGACTTTTCAGAAGCCTTGGGCTATCCACTCCTTTGTTGCCGCCGTCTTCCTCTTTGCCCTCACCATTGCTCAAACTATCTACACTATCTATCCCTACTACCATCCCAGTGATTCCCCCCCACCACCTATGCTTTCTCCAAAATCCCTCTCAATCGAACTGCAGCCAATTCTGCAGTTCAATATTATTTCCAGAAATAAGTGGTACTGCTCATTTTACAATATTCCACAGTTTGGTTGAACCAAGCCTTGGCCTCCTGAATTTCCCAATTGAGCGTGGTGGTCCGGGTCTGGGCATTGCATCATTGGAATGAAATGCGTTCAAGAACAATGAATCATATCCTCCCATCTCATCAACCAAAGTTTCCTTTGTGCTTATTTATTGGTGTACAATCATGCTGCTTTCCATCGTTCATTAACTACATGTTTCCTTGTGGCTTTGTACTAAAATCAGGCACAATCGACCGGAACATATCAATCAACATTTGAAAGGTGACCATTTCTTTCAAGTTATTTACGTTTGTTGGCTGGCTAATTCCCGAGAGATCAGTAATGAGTACAACATAGTAATAATGAAGGACTCGGACATAAATCACACCCTCATCTATCACATGGCCTGGCGGGGCTACTCTCTATTCTTCATGGTATAGATACAAGCCAAGTCCAAACCTAGCACACGCTCTGCAGAAAGCTATTTCTTCAGCTGCTGCTACAGGATCAGCAATGTCGCCCTCGATCGGTGACACTGTGCCACTTGACTCGCGGTGTGCCTGCATCAGTAACATATTACATCAGTCAGTCAAAAGGAAACCGCAGACTTCTCTGAATTTCCTTAGCCAAGTATTTCATTGCAATATCGCCAATCCACATTTGTGGTTCATTTTTTCCCTTCTACCTCTCAGGTACCTATTGCCAATTTCCTTTTAGTCAAGCTCCTCATTGTTATTCCATATATGTTCTAAGCAGCCCAAGGATCAATAACGACCAGTAATTCACAGAACTATGAAGAACAAACATCAGGTCCTAAATCCAAACTTGGCAGGTCACGTATAATATTCAATTACCACCTACACCAAGTACAGAACACATCCTGAACTATATGCATTACTTTTAGTCCTAGGATTAGTCCATCATTCGGCATTCAGATTGTCATCTATGAATTACATTTCTCACAAGGCAAAGGAAGGAGCTCATTGGTGGCCCTATTGGTACTTCTATGAATTACATTTCTCACAAGGCAAAAGACGGAGCTAATCGGTGTCCCTATAGGTTATAAACCAAAACCATTTAAGTAGGTTGTCATCAACTGCTGTTATAAGCCAAGAACCAGAACACCATTCAAAGTATAACCTAGTATACTGACAACAAGTAGTGCCGTTGGCTGGTATCCTTGATACTTAACCAATCGCCAATTTTGCCACACAGCTAGAAAGGGGCAGATAATGCATAGTAAGTACAGTACAAGGAATCAGAATCATACCTCTCCGTCGGATCCGCGTATGGTAACACGGTAAACCACAGTAACACTACCATTGTCTGAGAATATAACATCCCTTATTTCTCCGCACCATCCTATCCAATTGGCAATCAACAATGTCATTATTACGTAGTGAAGAAATTCTAAAGTCTGCCTTAACAAAAGATAACTTAAAGCGCTAACAAGAAACAGCTCGATTTAGAGACCAAAAGATAACAATTTCTGCAGGATAACTGTGTCAACTATCACCACATATAGGCGCATCTTCCAGCAATAATATAGTACCAAAATTTATCTCCCTACTTAGCATATGGGCAATATATGGTACTGCTGCACACCAGCATGGATAGGATCACAGAAACCATCAGAATGCTAACTTGGCAGTGAAACGAATTGAAGGTGTAAAAGAGGCTACAAGTACATGCTGTGTTCTCAGCCAATTTGCGACGGAACAGACCCACACAAAAGAGACAGGAACTCAACAAGAAGCACAAGCAGTGGCAGGTGACAAGTTTGCAAATTCAACATTTGGACGCATTGTATGCAGCATCTGGTCGACATCTTTAGAAAGTTGAGGAACTAGAACTACAAAGTGACCATCAAAACTTACAAAAAGGGTATATACAAACTGTTGATAAGGGAGAAGTTAGGGTCAAATAGAGGAGTGAAGCAAACTAAATCCTGATTTTTAAGTGCCAATGAAGAATGTATCAGGCCTGAATGATGAGATAGCAGCATGAATGAAATGAAAGGGAGAAGCAGAGAACAATGGCATACCTGGGGCATAGAAGCTTAACATGCGGTTGGCGTGGTACCTATGAAAGAGGATCAATTACAAGAACAGATCAGTGGTGGTGTATTAGGGATTTAGGAATACTAAGGTCACCAACAAACTGCAGATTTGGGAAAACCCAATACCATGGAATGGATGTTGAAGGTTGGGAAGGCTTGATTATGTTGTCCGGGATCCTCTTGTTCAGATCACGTAAGATCTCGGCGAGTGGGCGAGTTATACAAGAAGATTGGGAGAAAGAAAATGATTTGTCGAGAGGCACCACATAATTGGAATTAGGTACGTTCTTCTTCTTTATGCTTCCATCATTGTTGCTGCTCCCAGCTCCAGCGCCAACTGCATACACGAGCCGCACCTTGCCGAAACCACCAAACTTACCGCCGGTCAACTTACGAAACCCAGGCGGCAATGGCGGCGATAGCGCAGGTGAGATTGATTTCGTCACAAGACAGCTGCTGCCATTGAACTGCACAGCCATGCTTTTCTTCCCTCTGGTTTTCGTATCTGACGAGACGACCGACCACTCAAGCCGCGATGTTAATTCTCCGTCCTACAAGAATCGTAGCCGACTCTTTGTCTCTTCTTTTTTTTTTGGTGCGTCTGAAGCAATGGAAGGCGACTTTTCCTCTTTGTGGAAAAATAATCTCAGTCCAACTACTCTTCTTTCGTCTTTTTTCCAAGTTGGCTGGTTTAGCAAATGCCATGCGGGCAAATCTACGCTTAGTCCTGGCCTCCAGCCTCCAGGGTTGTTGAGTCAATTGGTATTTGGTAGGTAGGAAACTTGGCATCAAAATTAGAATGATCGTTTCTTTTCATTTGTATCTCATTGCAAGTGGAGAGAAGCAAAATTAGCTTTGTTTAATGTTCAATTCAGAGATAAATCTGGAGATTAAGGTTAGAATTTTGGTACGAGAACTCGAACCGATTAACAAAAAATCCCATTTCCAAACCATTTTAGAGAATCTTGAAACACATGGTGAAAGTTTCTGGTTTGTTAAAATAAAATAAATTTTTTTTTTATAAGGGTGATATAATTTTTTTTACTTTTAAGGTACTAGTTAAGAAATTCATCTGGGATCTCCAGGTTCTAGAATAGTGGTATTATCACTAGATCAAACTCTTATTTTTTTTTTGTTAAAATAAAAGAATTACCACGCTTTTCTCGCAAATTGTCAATTTGCTGAGCAAAATGTCGAAAGAGGAGTCTTGTAATTATATTCTTTTGCTAAGAAACCTTTTTGAATGTTGATTTTTTTTCCAAGGCAAACCCAAAGGAGTAATACAAGACTCAATTACAAGACATACTGCAACCAAGCGCAGTAGTCCATATGCAACCAAAATATCGATGAAAGAGCATGCTTTGCCATTACTTGTGCAACTCTGTTGAAACTCCAAGGAGTGAAAAAACACTCAAATGAAGATTAAAATGAGTGGATTTCCTCCAAGATTGCCTCTGCCGAGAAGGAGCGAGAAGGAAGCTTTATTTGAATTAGCGTGTCGGATGACTAGTTGAGAGTCGCCACAAAAACAAAAATTTTAAAATTATGCATTAGGCACAACCTCATAGCATCAGGAAGGCAAGAACTTCAACTACATAAGCTGATGTGCGACAAGAAGTTATAAACTCGAGGTCTTACTACCCTACTACACCTAATCAATCCAAGTATAACTCGATCAAACGATGCAACATAGAGGTGACCCTCAAGGTCGTATTCTCATGGGTTATTAGATATTTTTATTACTTCAATGCTTTTTTACTATCTAACCAAACAATTGAATGGTTCTAACAAACAAGATAACTAACTTGCAAATTAACGACTAACCCAATTAAAGAAGAGGTATTTGAGATAGGTATATGAAGTCAACAGACTGAAAATTAATGTAATCTAATCTAAACCTTATATTATACGCTTCACTACATAGCATAATTGCCACGTACCCTCTTTGTTGCTTCTCCTTATTTCACGTAGGGGCTTTTTAGTAAAAGTTTCAAATGATTGCGTTCTGCCCTTTCTTGCAATTCGAAATTCCTCTGTCTAACTTTGCGAACGAATCCACATCTCCTTCAAAGTTCGTCGGGAAACCCCAGCCCGCACATGCTTTGCAGTGTCGAAGCTGATTACTCCATTTCCTTAGCTTTTATGTATGATCGCTTTTATTCAGAAATGATGGTTGCATGCGGCAAGTCGAATTTGTCATAGTTGTTGACCGGGGGTAGCAGCACAGAAATAGGCCTTCCTCAGCGAAAACTAAAGGGGAACTCGAAGGCAAGTGGAAATGGAGCCAGGTAAAGACTTAAGGTTTTATCTCTTTGTGAAATTCAGCACACTGATGTTCAATTTGAAACTCTTTTGCTGCAGCAACAACATATTTCATTAACCTTTTATGTCTTACACCTCCCAGGGAGCTAAGCCGTGAGAGAAGAAGTTCGGAATTTAACAATGAAGAGGTCGAAGTTTAGACTGTCTCCATTTGCTCACCTTTGTGCTTCCATGTTTTTTAGATAAAATAACGAACTATATATTGTTTTTGACATCAAACTTTCTGTCTGCAAAATGGTATTATCTCTAGCTCCTACCCAAATTTTCTTCTATGTCAAGCTTCTCAAACATGGCTGGGGAAGCTTTTTAGTCCTTTGAATGACCACACATCAAACGTAACTGATAATACCAGGAAAAGAATGCGAGGGTCTTTATTGTGAAGTTCAAATTCCCCCAACCGTTCTATTCATGATGACAACCGGAACTTGGCAAATGAAAATTAGCAGGGTAAAATAAGATTAAGAAAGATTCTAAGAATTGTGCATGGGGTTTGATAGATTTAGAAAGAGTGTTTAAGAGGGGAAGACAAGATATCGTTCATAATTGCGAACGGTCCTCCAGATCCTCACAATAGATGATGTAGAGATTGATTCAGTATAAGGTGTTTAAATATCCGACATTTTTTGTTCAGATTAAGTTAAGTTATTTATTAAATATTTACATGGTGAAGGAATTATCTTAGCATCACTTTCCTAGGGATGGCATCGGGGCGGATCGGAGGCGGGTACCTACCTCCCGATCCCTGCCCGTCAAGATTGACGGATTTTCCCGTTCCCGTCCGCGTAGATTAAACGGGCGGATTATGTCTACCGTCCCTGTCAGCAAACGGATTCGGGTAATCCACGGATCCCCACGGAAGAGGGGGGAGTGACTGGAGGCTTGGAGCGGGCACGATTGATGATGCTGACACAATTTTGCGGTCGCTGAATTTTGGGCACGCGTGCATGATTTTGGGATTTCACGAGCAGAGGGAGGAGGGAAAGAAGGGGAAGAGAGAAGAGTGACTGAAGAATGGCGATCAGAAGAGGGAGGAAGGGAAGAAGAGTAAGAGTGGAGAGGGAAGGGGAGGAGTGACTAGAGAATGCGATCAAAAGAGAGAGGGGAAGAAGAAGAAGAGTGGAAAGGAAAGGGGAGTAGTCGGCGTCGGCCGCAACAAGTGAAAGGATTAGAATTTTTTGAACCATCAATTATTAGTTTATATATTGAGCATCCAAAACGACGTCGTTTTGCGGGATCGGGCGGGGGCGAGGCGGATACCACGAGATCCATCACCACCCATTGCCCGCTACTATCGGGTTTCGGGCATACCCGCATCCGCGCTTTACCCACGACAGACGATTTCTTTAACCTCCGTTTGGGCGGGTTTCGAATAGATACCCAGCGGACCGGGTAGGGTTGCCATCCCTACACTTTCCTAGAGCGAATGCGAAATATAAAAGTAACACCAATCAAATTTCAATGTTATAATGTCTATACTTGATCTAATTTTACGAAGTATTTTTCTGCTTTAAAGTATGAAATTGGATTAAATATCTCTACAAATTGTGCTTTTCAAAATTAATATTTTAATAATATAGTAGTATGAACTCCAATTTTGAGTCTCTACAAAAATTTATTTTGAAAATATTTGGATTATCCTTATAATTTCTAAAAGTTTTCTATAAAATATAATTTTTCTTAATTTATATCATTTTAAAACTAAATCAAATTATATAAAAATTTTATTTGTTATAAAAAAAATTCAACAATATCCATTTTAAATACATTTTTTAATTTTTTATATCTTACATTTAATAATTTATCAGCCACATACTTAATATTTTTTTCTAAAAATCCTTTTCATGCTAACAAAAAGCCAATCGGTCCAAACTTTCCAAACTATAAAATCAAATAACCAATTTTATTGGAACATAACAGAGTAACCGGCCAACGGGCCGGTCAAAATGCTAGTTTTTTGTATTCCTTTATGATGACAAAATCTATTTAGCTAGCATCCAAGTCAATGGTCGAGCATTTAAGATGCACTTCTAGGTCATACTTGGCTCCATGGTCATGCAACCACTAATCCCCATAACATTTAGCAAAAATTTCTCAACTTGGACAAAAAAAGACAAATGAGACTTCAATTCTAAGGTCATGCAATTAAAATATCATTTTACTTGATATCGATGTGGGTTCTAGCCTTGACCTAAATAAATGGTCACTAGTTTAGGTCAAGAACGAGACAATCAATAACTTGGTCTAAAGCTAGAGATTAACATTAACTAAACATCAAATAATCATAAAGTGGTGAATCAAGTTATTCTATTAACATTTGACTCATAACCAACTATATGGGCTATGGTTCAACTTAACCAAATACAAGGTGACCACCACTTGAAAGGAGAAGAATTACACTAAAAAGGGAAGAGATACATAATCTTCTTAACTCCAATATGAAAACACAGCTTTAACCTCTAAAGTTGAATGCCTCATTTTCTTCTCTAAACTCTCTCTCTTCTATCCTAGGTAGTTTTGTTTGTATAACTATTGTCCTCTCTTGATATCACTTGGAAATATCAAGGAGAAACTCTTACTCTTTCTCTAGGGATGTTATTAATTGAAAATCTATCCCCTCCTTTGAATTCCTTCGACTATTTATAGAATAATCGGACTCAACCTAGTTCATGGGTGACATTCATGGAGGTTCACGCCCATGAACTGCGATGAACGCCCGTAATTTTTGAAATACCGCGGTCTCGTCCTAAACTTCTTCTGAAATTACGACTTCATGACCATGATATTTTCTCATGGTCGTGAACTCGAAAGTCGCAGTCTTCGACAAGTGCCTGAGAGTCTGACCACTAGAGCTTCTTCTTTTGGCTTCTCTATTGCTAGGGTTCACAGCCTGACCATAAAAAATCCCGACTGTCAACTCTAGATCACGAATTGAAATTATGACAGTTATATGTTGTATAAGATTGTGAACTTCTCTTCTTGCATCTCCCTAAGCTTGTTGCCCTAAACTCAACTTTAATTCATCTAAACCAACACATCACATGCCTAAACATTTCCATATATTATATGAAGTGATCCTAGGCTAAAATGCAAGGTTTAATGATCATTCAAACTCAATAACAACATGAGAGAACCTAGACAGGGAAAGCTAATAAAACCTATTTTAGATGTTATCCTGTGTATCTGAAATGCCTCCAAAGAATTTACCAAAAGCAAAGAAAATTGATCCATCACTTGGAAAGGCGTCAAATCTTATTGCACCTGGTTAACCTTCATAGCACCACCAAATCGAAAAAGGTTGCCATTTTTATGATAGGGAACATCCCGACCACATATTTAAGGACCTTCGGGCATGGAAGCATGCTTTAAAGATCTAAACAGCATAAGAGTATTCCTTTGAAAAGCAAAAAGGCTTCGTTTTTTATGAAAAAGAAGAAAAAAATATCGATATTGTGCTGTCGTAGTTCTTCATGCTTTCTGTCTCTCTATCGTTCACCATTCCTCTATTCGATCTATTAGTTGCTTGAGTTGGAGCACAATTTTGGGGGAGAAGAACAAGGTTTTCCATACCAAATTTGGGGGGAGTAGTCACATAAAGGTACGACAATGGTCCAAACCACCATTAGCCATCCTTAAGTATCTTACAATAAAAAAACAATGTTTCTATATTCCATGGGTCCACAACATACATGCATTCTCTAGATGCAACCAGTTTACGATAGTGTAGGACTCATCGTACTGGTAAGAATCAATGCACGACTCTCAAAAGAGAAAATAACCAGTTTAAGCGGAACATGGATATTGCTTTGAAATTCCAAAACTTGATATCTAGATAGTTTTGTGGAATGAGTTAATTTTAGTCGATAAGAAGTGATACTCTATTTTCACCTTGTATTGATAGGATTTGCCATATGCATTTAAAATTTTCCTCACACATGGTTGAGGGTAGAAGGATATATAAAATTCACTGGAGTGTTGTTGGGTGGGATAAACACTATAATCTATCAATGATCCGAATGGTTATAGTTTGCTAGATAAGATATGATATCATTGGCTACTCTAATACGTCATTGAGCTGTAGTGAGGTGTAGAAAGGGGGTTATGATGGTATCCAAGGGTCATGAAGGATGGAGATTGACGAGTCTTATCTAACTTTCCATCTTAGACCCTTCATGCATAGATCTCTCCCCCATAAAACCCTTTGCCAAGTCCAAGAAGGCCATGAGCTAGCTCTAGCATTTAGAAAATTATCATTGGAGGGTATCAAGCTTTATATATTACGCCAAATTACATTTCGGTTATAATAGTAGCTTCTATGCTTGTTTGGATAACATAGCTACAATTAATCGACCATTGGGATGTGTGTTGCAACTGTGATTTGTCTAAGATTTTTACTTGTAACGAGGATGCAAAGACCACAAATTTCATCAAGAAGAAAAACATTCTATGCATTGCTCTTAGTCTCCAGTTTCCTTGATAGTATGTGTCACATCATCATCAATATAAAAAACATACAAACATCGAAAAATCTACTGGTCTTGGTACAATGAAATAAGTTTTCAGTGTTTTGGAGTAAACATGAGGGAAAACATATTTAAAGTAGATCATATGTTAATTCTCCAGGCCAGGTGTACATCTTTTTCAGATATCCAAACACGTTCCTAGGCATTTCCACTTGATTTTCATAATAGTGGAATGTGTGAGGTACATGTGTGTAAGATCATGCACGAGTGCAATTCGACGGATCTGCTTTCAAAACCACTCACATAGCATAGGTACGTTGGCACAACAAACTTTAGTGCAATGGAGAGATTGTTAGTTATGGTGACCAAAAGTTAAGTAATGTCAAGTGTATTTTGTGAGAGATTAGTTATTTATGTGATAAAATTAAAAAATAAAGGATGGCCATTTGTTTCTTTATTTCAATTCTGTTGTATTTGTGTCACTGTTATTAAAGACGACTTGAACCGACCCCTGTAAAAACAAAATAATTTTTTGCATATATAGTTTTGGAAAAACCTCTTTGTAATTCCAAGTTTTAACCAAGACACATGATTTTGTCTCTCTAAACACGTACCCCTTCCACACGTGGCCATCTCAATACCTTGCAAAGTGTTTGACCTCTTGCTATATATTGTCCATTATTTTTCTTTATGAAAAGGATTGAGATCTCATAGAACAATAGCATGTTCAACAGGCTAACAAAATTTTACACACTAATCCACAAAATGTGCCTTAGACTAGTAAAGAGAATGGACACACATGTTTGTGCAATCACAATAATTCATGATAATATATATTAATAAGAAAATGATATAAACTAAAGTATAAGAAGTTGACCATCAGCCTCTAGGATGGTCAGTTTTTGTCCTGCTGTTGAATGTGACCAACTTTGCGGAGGAAGGATTTGTTGAGGAAGTTTTGGCCATTGGTTGTTGCAAGATCGGGGCGGTCGGCCTCCGACATCGACCCTCTCCTCGTCTTCCTCAAGCTTACCCCAGGAGAGTGCACCAGTTGTTGCTTCGCCGTGTGAACCCCGATTGCGACTGCCACCGACACAAATCCCATCACTATGTACACCGGCGCGTACTCTCCCGTCAAGGAATACCTGTACATATACACAAATCATATTAATTAGAGATACATAATCACCATCATCATCCTCATCATCATCACAGTAACCCGGACTGAGGCGGCCAGTACTTGTTGTAAGGGGCACTATTGCTTGCAGGAGACGATGAGTTACTAGGCGGGGACAATTTAGGAGCAGTAGCAGATGCCAAGCATTTCTTCTGTCCTGATGATCCGATCGTAGTGGTGATTATCGATAGTTTTGGTGACCATCTCCAACTCCTTATCTGCATGCGCATTGCATAAAACCCATTTAGTAAAGTGAATCATATCATATAGTCATCATAAATATGTAGTAGGGAGAAAGGTTACTAACGGTGGTTGCCCTCAAAGCCATATCGATTAATTGGACAACCAATACAAACTCAACTTAATCTCTGCTAGTCATGTGGAGGGAGGGGTTATTGGGTTGCGGGGATGATCTTCTTCTGTTGCTGGAATATTTATAGACATATTAATTAGGCATGGAGGGATGGGAAAGAGAATGTTGGGGAAGAGAGGCATATGTGTGATTTTCCTTGATTTCCTGCTTCAAATGTAACTATTTTCCATTGTTAGCTGTATCCCGTTTATTTCAAGCATTTGAAGTTTGAATATCTCGTCGTTGGAGATCCGCTTATCAATTTTTTTTTGCGCTCCCTACAATTTTACCAAGAATTTTAAATGTTAATTCTTCAATTCTTGAAAATTACATAATAGTTCATTTCTCCTTATGATCCCATGTCATCAATATTTTCAAAAAATCAAACTTCAAGTTTATCTTATCCTACCAGTAATATATAGTTATCAACCTTTCATGTCTTCTTAATATAAGAATGGCGATAAGACGAGTTTAACGTGGTTTTCTTGAAGATTGATTCAAGATTTGATGATAAGTTGCTAACTGTGATATATCCTCTTATGCCGCATCACAACAATACAACAAGTATATATACATTATACAAAGATAACCCTAACCCGTAACTCGTAACTATTCTGATTTATGACAATGGAGATGTCAGTGGATGAGAACATGGATCTGGAGGCGCCACCCAGCAGACCCCCCCTGCACACTCATAGCAAAAGGACAGTTTAAGAAGATGTGGTTAATTGATTCCTCATCCTTGTGGAAGAGCTCGTAGCGATTAGCCAATTCAAAACCCCGCCTCTTTAGATTGTCGATGGTGAGAATCTTCTTGTGCCAAACAAGCCACAGGAAACCGCAAATTTTTGTGAGAACAATGTTCTTCCAAACAACTTGATATAAAAAGCCCTCCGTCTCAGTGAATCAATCATGAACCTGCATTTTGTACATAGAACTAATAGATAAAGACTTATTAGAGCACGAGTTCCTTACCATACGACATGGACCAATGGAAAGACGATGAGAATCCTCGTTTACTTTTTCTAAAAGGAAATTCCTCTCCCTCTCAGCCCCACCCCAGATATTAATAAAAAAGGTTTTTCCCACAATCTGTTCTCACCTGAACAGGACACAGAATCTGAAAATTTTGCGTTGGGCATGGAAGCAGCAGCTCGTGGAAAAGAAGCAGCTAGCAGCTCCCTTGGGATCCAAGTATCGTGCCATAACGAGATACCAATACCCGAGCCTGGATCCAGGCTAGCCCCATTCCAGAAAATGTCACCAACCTTGCAAATATTAGCTCAAACTGAGCTACTAAACCCTTCTTCAATTCTTCTTGGTTTCCATTCAGAGATGGAGTGGTGATATTTAATTTCGATGAGCTGTCTCCAACAGTTTTCTCTTTCTGTAGCATATTTACACAACCATTTACCAAGAAGAGCGTTGGTAAAACTTTCAAGAAACTTCGTTGGATTTTTTCCGTATGATTAACAATCGTTTTTGGGGCTTTACTAAATGAAAAATTATACATGGGGAGGTTGTTAAGCGTAGAGGAGTTTAAAGTCAGCCTAGCCCCGAAGTATAGACACCTGTTCATCCAGCCTTGCAGTCCCCTTTGATACTTATCCACTACTGAATTCCAGGTGAGACAACATTTAGGCGGTCTCCCAAAGGTAGCCCAAGATACTTTGAGGGATCGTTGCTCCATTTAACCCAAAGGTAGACTTGTCGAGATTTATCTTTAACCTCGCGATAGACTGAAAGCATACGATTAAAGCAAGAATATTAATAATCTGCTCCGCCGAGCCATCACAATAGATTAGGGAGTCATCCGCGAACAGAAGATGTGTGACTTCACCATATCCCCTACCCTCGTCCATACAAAAGCATGAAATTCCATTGTCTTTACGTAGCTTAGTGATTAGGAATGATAGAACGTCCATAACAAGAACAAAGAGGCCCAGAGAAAGGGGATCACCCTCCCTGACGTCTTTCCCCGAACAGAAATACCCATAAGCCTCACCATTAACTAAGATAGAAGTCCTCGATGAGCACATATCACCTTTGATCCATTGCTGCCACTTTGAATACTTTCATAGAATTTCTTTTGGCCTTCGAAGACTTTCATATAGATGGTTTCTTGCCGAACAGTGTCACACACGCTTTCATTTGTCTTACTCCAAAATTTGAATTGGTGGAAAGTATAAAAGATCTCTGGCCGATCTGTCTAATGAGTAGTTTCCACAAGATTGTCAGTAAAGTAGTCATGAAACAAATGAGTAATGTCCTCCCCAACTTAGTATCTCGCAACCAACATGCCTCTGTCATTGGAAGACACATCATGGAGGCAACACTGATAGCAAATAAACTTATTGACGGCAGAAAGAAGAGAAAAAAACTTGGAATCATTTTCAAGCTGGATATCGAAAAAGCTTCCGATAATGTAAGTCGTAACTATTCAATAGAAGAAACTATCATATCCGAGAAAAGTAAGATGAATATAACTATGGGCTACAAGTACTAGTAGGAACCCAACCTCTAAAGGCTATATACAAATGGGTCGAAACAAGGTGTGCCAACAACCTCCCAAATTAATGAAGGTGTTTAAACAACAATTTGTTCGAGAAATACCAATGACATTTGTGGGCATTGATTTGAAAAAAAATGTCAGCATCCTGGTCACCATACTGAAGCTAATGCAACCTAAGATCAAGAACAATATCCGCAAGAAAATTAATAAGAATCTTGATATGGTTGGTTTGATAATGAAGAACTATGTTCAGAGGAATTTGAATTGCACATATTGTCAACAAAAAGCTACGTAGGAGAAGCACAAGAAACACCAAAATTGGACAACAAATGATGAACCCATATAAATTCATATATGAAATCATCACAAAATTAACACACCAACCAATGGTCGAGCGTCGGGTATTGATACAACTAGAAAAATATGTAAGCATTCTGGTCCCTAGACTGAAGCTAGTGCAACCTAAGATCAGCATCAAGAACAATATCCGCAAGAAAATTAATAAGAATCTTGATGTGGTTGGTTCGATAATGAAGAACTATGTTCAGAGGAATTTGAATTGCACATATTGTCAACAAAAAGCTACATAGGAGAAGCACAAGAAACACCAAAATTGGACAACAAATGATGAACTCATATCAATTCATATATGAAAGCATCCCAAAATTTACACACCAACCAATGGTCGAGCGTCGGGTATTGATACAACTAGAAAAATATGAATCAAATAAGCATTGTGAAAGTAAAAAAACACTATTTGACAGAAAGAATACGCCAACGTCCTTAGTGCACTGTAGATAACAAAGAATGCAATGAACAACTACAAGATGATAAATGAGATGAACCTCCATAAATTGGTTGATCACTCCCAACAGTGTTACGGTAGAATGTACCAATGCAGTAGCTCTCTTGAATCATGCCCAAACTTGAATTAGTTGCATATGCGTGTGATAGGTAAACACTAATGCCAATTAGGATAAGCAAAAAAAAAAAAAAATCGAAAATATATTTATGTTGACTCAAGAAAATACCCTTGGATATTTGTGCAACTTCGACCACATTGTTGGCATGCACTGCATCTATTTAAGCTTGAATAGAGCTCTCCTACCAGGGATCTCCCTAAAATTTCTTAAAGCGAGTGGAAAAAAAAGACATCAACACCACAAGCTACAAAGTCAATGAAATGGGTGGCCTACTGACTTTGGATAGTACGGAGAGAGCGGCAAAGAACAATGGGAGCATGTGGCAATGGGAGTGGCGCATATGCTGAAAAATCTATGTTGGGGGTGGAGGAAGCGAACCCAGTCGAGGGAGTAATATAAAGCAAGTGTACCTATCATAGGAGTAATATAATGGTAATCAAAGTCGTATTCCCAAAAATACTATGAACTACTAGTAACTGGCTATATTTTCTATTATTTAACCGATCCTTTATCAATTATTCTAATTAACTTAACTAACTAAAAAGAGCAATAAAATTCAGCATAGGCAAAACACATACACTTAGGAAAATTCAAGCAGAGAAGGTGTTGTTCGGACTTCGAATCCCCCTAGATATTCTATAATTCATCAATTGAACATGTATAGACTTGATGTTATCTTTCTTTGACTTATAAATTTCCAATTTATTGTTAACCCGATTTCTCTCGTTTAACACCTTATTAGTCAATTCAATTCAGATATGGTATTCTCTTCGACCTAAATGTAATTAACTAACACAATAACTGATTTATGAATCCCCCAATTAGGTTTAACCCTAATATGAGAATCCCTCAGCCACTATCTTCTAGCAGTTTGAGGTCCCTTTCATCTAAGAGAATTCTATTATGCATATGGGGATCCTCTCCTCGCCATACATATGCAACAATCAAGTAAACAATAGGCACACAACTACCGAATACTCGTATGATAAATCAAAGATGAATCTAAGATACATAAACATCAACATCCATATATAATTAGTCAACTTAGTATGCTATATATAGGGTTCCTCTAATCCAAACAAGAAAGAAAGACGAATTCATTGAGAGTGGAGAAACAAAAAAGAAAAAAAAAAGAGAAAGAAGAACTGATCTTCATGGCGGAAGTCTTGATCGATTGCTCCAATATGACTCCGCTAGGGTAGAGCTGCTGGAAAACCAATCTTGTGCCTTCTAACTCGTATTTGGTGTTTCAGGGCTACCCGTGGGAGGTATCCGATCCCGACTCTAAAGAGCAAAATGATGTCATTTTCAAGCAAATCTAAGGGGTTCAAAAGAGTTCCATGAGCCTCCTCATGGCCATGGCTCTACTTATGAACTCCTCGTGAATTAATTTCAGCCAAATTTCTAAAATTGGGTTGATTCTTCTCACGGCTGCTCCACGACCGTGGGACTAACTTGGAGCCCTTTGTAAATCCATCTCAAAACACATCCCAAGTGCTCTCCAAGTCATCCAATGCTCAATTCTTGTCCAAATATCTTCGAATTCAATTCTCATGACCCGTAACACACCTAAACAACAAACCAAGCGTAAAACTGGCAAAAACATAAGATCATGGCTAAGAT